GTTAAATATTGCTCTCTATTTGACTATTTTCCTTATCAGATGGGATAGACACATAAAATTGACTTTTACAGAGAGATGTGTACAGAGACCAAAACACTTCTGAAATTTTTTGTGTACATGTTCCATTAAATAGTATCTGACAAGAAGGAACAGCTTTTAAACATGCTATGCTTATTTTCTTTCCAGTTCATTCTTTAGTGATGGAGACAGCTGGCACAGACTCAGTCACAACCTTTATCTCTGTATGATCTTTATAAACAATTCCTCATCTCACTCTGAGTTTGCTCAATCATCCTGCTTATTCTTCCCATCCTGTTAATGCCATGAATTATTTTTTTCCATTTCATTTTAGTGTATAAAAGTAACAGGAGTTTTTCAAGCACCGGCTGTAGAAAGAAGATGAATAAGTAATTAAATGCTACAGGAGCTGCTGATTGGCACATAAGGCTACAGTGTGCTGAACTGATATGAGTTACAATAACATGCATCTTTACTTCCTTGAAAGAGTGCATAATGAGACCTGATTTAAATATGTTCTGTTTTTAAGAAACATCCCATGTGTTTTCTTTGAAATTAGCTTTGCCTTCATCTGTTGGAACTATTAAGCAGATCTGCTCCTTGAATTATTCTGTACAAGCCTGTACAATTCAAAAGAGAAAAAGACTGCAAATTAACAGTGAGTAATTTTGGAAGTCCACTTACTAGGCTCAAAAAACAATTTTAAGGTGCAGCTGAAGGACATAGGTGCAGCTGAAGGACATAGGTGCTTTCAGGATACATTAAACAGTGTAAAAATCGCAATAGCAAAAGTTTTGGAGCTTTTAAATTTTCCAAGAGAGGAAAAGACTTCAGCTGCAAAGCATTCCCAACAGAAATTTTGTAATGGCCTGGTTTAGACAAGTTCCTTTAAAAATCTTACCTTACAAGAAGGGTTGGGTTTTATATTAGAAATAAGATGAACCTTTTTGCCCTCTCTTCCTTAAAGATACGCTTATCTTGGTGTAACAGAGCAACTAGTCTATCTGTCTGCATTTTTAGAGTTATAAAGGGAGAAATGTATGTTTCAGAGTCACTAAAAGAGGAACAAATCAAAATGGAGAGTAAATCACTGGCTCATGGCTGAAAATCATGAAGGCCCTTCTGGCTTTTTTCCTGAGAGGAGGATTGTGTTGGTTGGGTTCTGGGTTATCCACCGTAGTTGGCTAACTTGAGACCTCATACCTACAGAATGAATGCTGCAGCGCTGATTGTAGTTATTGCTTTGTTTCATGCTGAAAAAATATTTCAAGAATGTAGTTTTGTAAGCACATGTCCATCTACTACCGGAAGACTGTTTTTCAAAGCAGGTTTTTTTAAAGTATTTTTGGCTATTGTTTAGGGTCAGCTATGAAAACAGTTTGTGTTGACACAGTATCAGCACACCAGATTTTAGGTTTTCAGGATTTTCCCCCCTCTTTTATAAGAATCAAGAATGTCTAAAATTAGTGTTGGTTTTTCCAAGACTCTTGCATGGCCTGATTTATGTAGAAAGTAGCAATGTATTCACAAATGCAACAGAACTGTATAAACCATAGACATTGGATTTAATGGTCTGTCACCTGTCAGATTACTAAGGGAAGGGAAGTGAAGCATTCATTTTAAACCATTACCTAAAGTGTACAGTAATTTTGCAATTTATAATTGTTGTATGAAATACAGTGGTATGAATTACTGCCCAAGTTGTGTCTAATCCCTTTTTGTATGACCAATATAACTTTAAAATATTATTTTGCTTTTGTAAACATAAAAAAGCCTAGTGTGGGCAGAATAAAGGTGTTATCTCTGTGCTCAGTGTTCACTTTTTCATTTTGTATTCACATCTGCATACTCAACAGGACTCAACACTTGCATCCTTGTGTTTATCTTATTAGTGGGCAGTTTTCAGTGACAAGTTTTGAGATGCTTCTCAAGGTTTTTTTTTGCCATACCTTCACCTATTGAATCTATACCAAAACTCTAGTGTTAATTTTCTCCTAATTTCCTCCCTGAAACACATAGCCAGCAACAGGAGGGGAATTCACCCTCTACTAAAACCTGTGCTCCACTCAAAGCTTACAAATACTTTAACTGTTTTAGTTCTTAATGCCAAAAGGAGAATGAAGTAATGTCTTTGTCTAGTGAAGGAGGCACATCCATTCTAGATAGCTACTGGAGGGGTATCTCTTGAAAAACTAAATAAACCACTAACATATGTGGTTGTACTTCTTATTATATAAAAATATTTAAAATCAGCAAATTCAGTATTGTAGATTTTATGTTCCTTGTTGGGCTTTTTATGACATACTTTTACTCTGTAGTGTTCCTCTAGATACGATTTTTCCAATAAAATCTTTATTTTGTCCATTCAAGACAGATGATATTTCAGCTCAAGATCAGATTTATAAGTGGGTTTCTTTTTTTTTTTTTTTTTCTATTGCAGAGAGGTTTGCTGGGACAAGATTATTGGTATTATTGGTATGCTTGGTTATCCTTGCGGTGTGTAGTCTCATTGCTCTTCTTGTTTACTGGCAGAGAGACACAGAGAAATATATTGAGTACTGCTAAGAAAAGGTTATGCAAGCCTGAGTGCATTATTTTTGCACCTGTGGTATAAGTGAAAAAACCAAAACAAAAGATAATCTACGAAGTCTGTGATGTGCTCAAGGTACTCTACTGCTAAATTATTTTAGTAGTTTTAATTCAGTGTATGGTTTATTTTATGCTAAGAGAGTTCTCTATCAAAAATATTGATAAGGATTGCTATGGATGACTTATAGCTGATGAACTGTATGGGCCAAACTCTTAAAATCTTTTGTGGTGTCAACTTCAATTTGAACTACTTCAATGGCAAGGATGTTGGTGAATTAAATCCAAGGTCTCTTAGGTCAAACTTGATTGAAGTTTTATTGAGGGTCAGGAGAAATTGATGAAACACAGTATGTGAGGGTAAACAGGACAGACAGAGTAAAAGAGATCTATCTCTAGATTGTTTCTAGAGATTGTTTTGCTGGAATTTCTTAGCGTACTCAAAATGTGACATAGCCTCCCTTTCCTTGTATGCTGTGGAAATGTTTTGGAAGTGGTATGGAGGGGAGAAAAGTCATTCTAGAAATATTCCCCACTTCAAAGTGTAGTAATCAACTCTTGTTTCTGACCAAGTTTTTGAAATTAAAATGCGTTATATTTTACTGATGCATCCACATAGGTTCTGCTAACCAAAAGTCTTTTTTAAATGAGGAATTTTTCGAGCTGTAAATACTGCCTTCCTTCTCTTTTGAAAGAAATTTCTGCATAGAGAATGCTTTAACGATTTGTAACCAGTGGGTGATTCAAAGGGTCTTATTCTAGTGTGCGTAATGTCAAATTAAAATATTGATACATACTGTGAAGGACTGAAGAGATTCTTCAGGAATGTCGCTTTTGCAATACTTCCATTTCTGTATTTTTTTAATAGAAAAGGCTTATTTTTTAAATGGCAATTTTCATTATTTACTTCATGTAGTATGTATTGAATCCTACAAAGAATATTATTGCTATTCAGAAGTATACAGAGAACACTGTTCTCAGGAGTGTTTATATAAATGCAACAGTTAATGCTTACTGAAAGTTGGACTGTATAATGCAGGTTTCTAAATGTAACGGAGGTTAGTGTGTTTTCAGTGCTTAGTTTTTCTTGGGGTTATGTATTTATTTACATATTTGTTTATATATTTTATTTGAAGCAATAGAATGGCAGGATTTGGAAAGATGCGGAGGACAAAGGAATGAAGTGGGGGAGGAGGGAGGAAAAATAACATCTTGCCTCCTGCTAAGCTAAAGTTGAGATGAGGGTGTTTTTTGTGATTGTGGCATCAAGAGACTAAGTAATGAAAAGAAAAGACAGTTGATGTTTTTATGGTGTATGTTTTTCAAACTTTTCTGTAGTAGAACACTCATTTTATTATATAATGTTGTCAGCACTGGCTAACTGCTTTTTTTGATCTGGAATGGGACCTTAGCAATTTGTGACAGCAAAATAAGCCTTGACTTTTAAATTAGTACTATAAAATATATTGTAAAAAGTAAGCAAAACATCCTAATAATGTTTAAAGTATCTTCTTTTGTGTTTCTATGTGTAGAAAATAATAAAAAAAAAACAGGAAAAGCAGTTTCCTTCTAGGTGGGACAGATTTATGGTGGAAGAAAATGCTTCATAAGAAACATAACAGCTGATTACTTATAACCTTTTGTTTTAAAAAGGTTGGTTGCATTTAAACCTTTAATAAAGTCATAAGTGCTGGAGAGCATCATATCCTTACATTTATTTCTACCACCATGAAAAAATCTTACATAAAAATTGAATTTTTTCTTTCTGTATATATGTTTCAAAGGATTTTTGCATAATAAAGATCAAAATATTTTTTGATTCATTTAATACTTGCTTTTTCAGTATGTGTTATCACAATAAAGTTTCTGGTACATGTTTTCTAAATTTTAAAAATATTAGTAAATAGCGGAGAGAAACAAAATGTTTCATTTTCTAAGGAATGTTAACAATTTTTTCAAGTCACCTTAGCATTTGTAAAATAATTTTCTGAAGTCTTAGTAGATGCAAATTGCTGTTATTCCAGCTATCAAAAAAGTAAACAGTCTGTTGTAGCAATCTACTATATATTAGTAATCCTGTTGAAAGCAATAAACCCATTAAATTTAGTTTCTAATGGAATTTTAATGTAGTAGTTTGTTTGTTAGGCTTTTTTTAAACTTGCCGTCATCACTTTTCCTGTGTTACTCTCTTCAAGTCAATTTCCTAAAAATTACCCTTCCAGCCTCAATTTCTTGCTCCTTCTGTTTTGTAAAATTTGCATTTTTATCTTGCATTCTGATTAACATTGGCTATTACTCACTCACTAGGCAGGTCTGGATGGAGAGATGAAAACAGAGAAAACAATATTGTTCACAAAGTCAAGTTACAAATGCATTCTTCTTTCCATTCCCAAAAGGCACTGAGGCGTGAACTGAAGGAAAAAGAGCAAACCGTTCTCAATGCTGTGGACCAGGCACGAGTTTTCCTTGCTGACCAACCAATTGAGGGGCCTGAGGAACCAAGGAGGAGCTTGCATTCAAAAACAGGTCAGAAAATAGTCACTGCTGGGGAGGGTCAAAAAAAGAGAGAAAGGACTTGCATGTCTCTAGTACATAATTTATTTCCCAGTTACTTGCTCAGATTTTTCCAAATGGCATCCTGGTGGCTTTTATTTCAATGTTTTAGAGTCAAGGGTTACTTTCCTGCTTTGTAAGATATCAATGGAAATTTGTAACATTTTAATGGAAGAAGTAGAAACATCTCTTCTGCCTTTTCCAATTTTAGGTTCAAAACACCAATGATAGTTTTTTCCTAGCATAATAACATATGCACCTTAAATGTAGTCAGAATAGTACTTCAAGTGTTCCCATTCAAACATCCATATGCCTATAGCAAAGTTTTACTCCATAAATAGAAATAAGCATGTTTAGTGGTGTATCTCATTAGAAGTAAAATAAATCGGCTTTAGGAAGGCAGTCATTACAGAATCCTTAAGATTTGAATAGTGGGTGAATCATTGCTAAGGAATGGAACCACAGCTATGCTAGAAACTGTTTTTTGCATAGTATTTTTTGAGATATTACTCTAAATATCAGAGGCCTGCAAAAAGTTAATTTTTCTCCACTCCCCCACAAAATAGGAAATTATCTGTGTAAGTTCTACAGTCTGATATAAGCTACAGCATTATGAAGTCTTACTTTTAGTTACACAAGAACTGTTCTCAGAAAAGGTGGTAATAATCTGCTTTTGCAGAACTGTCATTTGCTGTAAGGTGTGAACAATTTACTGTTCTGTATAATTTACAAAATTACAGTATACCTGCTTTTATCGGGAGTTAGTTTTTTATTTCCATGCATCATCGTATACATCTCCATTGCAAACTTCTTAAGTTTGTTCAGTGGAAACTACTAATCTCTTGCATCCATGCTTTGTGTTATTTCTGTACAAATTTTTAAGTGGTTTCATATTCCCTAGTTCAACTTTATCACAGTCTGAATAGCTGGTGATTAAAGCCAATGAACCATTTATCTCATTGATTAGTGCTGCTGGTACTCGCTTTACTTCTGTTTTGAGCTCCTGACTCCTGAAAACATTCAGGTTTTTTTTACTCTGTAATCCATTTGATTTATGGCATCTCTAATGTTTTAGTTGCTCTAAATCACAAGCAACCTTGCAGTTGAAAAGTAAGGATGCTCTCTGTATATTTGTTCATTCTTTCATACAGAAGTTTGAAATTGCAGTTTCTCTTCTCAAAAACATAGAACCTCTCAGTCAGTGCAAATGTTGCCAGTAAATAAAACCTTGCCAATGCAAAATGCTCATTTTCTAACAGAATTTGGTGTCAATGATCTAGTCAGTATTGATTGATGAGATGCAAACTGCAAACGCCAACTTCAGATTATAAGATGCATCATAAGCTATTGCTATCCAGTCTATTATGATGAAAATTATTATTATTTTGTGTTATACCAATGGCAGTGAGAACAGAATAACAGGGAATTTGATGACCATGGTAAACTGCATCGCAATGACATCTATGGTCTGCAAATGATGTGTGCATGTCTCTGGTCTAGTCATTGTATTTAAAAACCTGTCACGTTCAGGCTGGGGACCCTCATACATGTGCACTGAACTTCTTTTCCTCTTTCTTCTTCACGCTCAGTACTTCCATGGACTTAGTTTTTTGAACATGTGATGAATTAGTCTTGACTACCAGCCAAACTCCCACCCATCCAATTATGTCTTCCACTGCAGTGGAAAGGAGGCAGGAGATGGGAAGAACATGAGTGAGAAAGCTCATGGGTCAGGATGGGGATCAGACAGGACACAGATGCAGATCCTGTGCAAACTACTGTTGTGGACCAAACAGGCTTAGCTTGGGGAAAACAAACTTTTTATTGTCATTTAAAATAAATAATTAAATACTAGGTTGGTTTGTAGTGGAGAAAAACCTCACAAACATTAAAACCACAGCTTTCCTCTTGCCTTTCACAGACTCAGCTTGATTCCCTCATTCCTGTCTCTTCCCTGCCTTATTGTGATGCTGGTTATGCTCAGAGAGGCAACAAGTGGCACGAGAGGGTGGGAAGGTGGTGACTTCATGATTAGCTTAGCAGTTTGTCTGCTGCTTCTTTCCTCTAATGCCAGTCCTCTGTGTGCAATCTCCATGGGGAAAATCTGCCTTACCATGGGGTTGCTTCGCCTCCTCTGACTTCAGTGTTCCCTTTGCTGTTTTTCCTATTGGCTCCCCCCTCCTCTCTGGTGTTTTCTGTTTCTTAAATACACTTTTCCTGAGGTGCCACCACTGTGGCTGGAGACCTCAGGTGTGCCCCATGGTGAGTTGACTACAATCTGCTGTCCCTGGCACTGGGCAGCTCTAACCTCTTCTCCCACAGACGTGAAGCTCCCACTGCCGGCATTGGGCACTCGCAGCCTGTGCAGAACAGGCCTGCACTTTCTGTAGATTGATAGACCTCCAGGCCAAAAGCTGTCTTTAAATCATTCTGTCTGAGCTCATATATATATAATAAGCTGTTAATTTTCACCTAGGAGTGAGTCTAGTAAATTTTTTCTGACAACTTGATGCCACCAGTCTCCAGAAAACTTAATCTCTGATCTAGAAGACAGCCAGATGCACACAATTTTTCTTCAGATTAACCATTATTAGTGAAGGGTGTGGACTTTAGTTTGCTTTTAAGTTGTTATTTTTTTTTATTTTTTGCCAGCCTCTTGGTCACTGGTGTTCTCTATACTTGATTAAAGTTAACTTGTTAACTTCAATTAAGTCCACTTCATGTTGATAAGTGTGGAGCGTGTTTATGGGTTCTAAACTGATAGTCTGTTTTCTAAAAATATTGACAAACAGTCAACACTGCAGAGTCTTGATTTGGCTGATTCTATAATAGAAATAGGAAAGCTGTTTTACTAACTCAAACTTGCATTAATTGGAAATCAGTTTCTTGAGGTTACTTCTTACTTCTGTATAAGGGAAGGGGTCATTTTGGGGGAATGGTTAGCTAATCTGAAGATGATAAAGGTTGTGAAATTGTTTTCTATTTTCTTCAACCTCTGAATCTAATTTTTTAAAATCAATATTTTTGATAATTTTCTCCTTCACCACAGGTCTTTTCATGCCAAGGAGAGGACATTGTTGCAAGGGCATGGAATGAGGCAGATTTAGGAGAAAACTGATCAGAATCAGTTTTGAACTTGTCTGACTGAGACCTGTTCAAAGGACTTGTGCATATATACATACATTTATTGTTCCATCCAAACAGAACACTTGTTACAGCATGCCTTATGATAACCCATTTTTTCTCTAATGGTCTTCTTAATTTCAAACATATGACAAGAATGTAGTTTCAGGTTATGAGTAAGCCTTGGTTTCTTCTTTCCCCCATCTTCACCTTATACATCTTTGGTTGGCCTTCTACTATACCAGAGAGTAACTGGCACATTCAGATAGAGTTCTCTGTGTTCCAGGAAACTACTTTCTTAGTCAACTATATCTCCCATCCATCTTTTCTTCTGCTTTTGTTTTGCCATGTTTCCCCATTACAAAAAAGCAAGCTTCAGTCTTCCTGTATTTGAGCTGCCTCAGCATCTGAATGGAGCTGATTGATAAGCCAGCAGGCCAGCTGCTGAATTTCATGGATGGAAAGGTTAAAGAAATTGAAAATGGTTATGTTTTTAGCATATTTTTTTCACTTGCCCATAGTATAGGAGAAAACTTTGATCTAAAAATGTTAATTATAATTCTCTATGGGATAGTTATAGCTGGATTCTTAATTCCATGTACTGTAAGGTTACAGGCCATTGCAAAGACAAAGGAAAGCAGATTTCTTATTTTATGTCCCCAGGGTTCTATGAACTGATGATAAAGCTTTGCTGAAATTCTGTCCTTACATTTCCACTGAAGCAGTGGAACATCCTAGCAGATCATCACAGACCACTACACTGATTCTCATTGCAATAGTGAATGGTTCTGGAAGTCTGCAGTGTTGTCCAACTACTTTAGTAATTTAATTTTCTTAAGACAATTAGATTCCTAGCTTTGAAAGCTGCTATTTGGTAGCAAAGGTTGTTGTGATAAACACAGCCTTTAAAAACAAGTATTTACCATCTGGTATCTCCTATTAATTGAATAGAAAGCCCCATAAATCACATCTGTGTTGTAAAAGAAATATGTTAATAAGTATCAGTGAATTGTATGTAGATATTTTATTTAAACTTGTAGAGGGACAGTATCTTTGTGTTTCAGGCATAAATAAAAGCTGAACTTTTTTGCTTACCACTACTGACATTTAGGTAAATTTCTCTGCTGTAATTTTTCCATTTGCAAGGAAGATCTCACTGAAAATGGGCAATTTATGTTATATATATAAATACATATTATTTTCTAATATATAACAGGTATATAGCAGGCAGCATTTCTATTATAAAGCAAACAGCATTTCTATTCTAAATCACTTGAGTTTGTTCTCTAACTATCACACAGTGCTGGGATTTTTTTTTCCCCTCTGCTGTGCAGTTGGACTGAGTATGAAGTCTTGACTGTTAATCAGAAGTGCTTAGGAGAATGAAGACGATGTAGCCCACTGGAAGTCAGTGGGATCATATCCAGAAACTAATTACACTATTTTCAACACTGCTGCTTTTGTTTTAGTTGGAGCTCATTCACTCATGACTTTTAACAGTTTCTTCCCACGATAAGAGAAATGTGCATTTACCCATGAGGGAATCACAAAATACTTCTCTCTCTCATTTTCAAAATTAGAGCTTTTTTAGTCACCCTACAAGTTTAGTCCACTTTGGTAAAGCTTTGAAATTCTTCCTGTAGGGTCTACACGGTTGTCTGCTCAGAACCATATTAGTAACATTCAAGGAAATTGTTTCCACTTGCTGAGTGTTGTGGAGTGCAAACTTAGAGGATGTTAATGGAAACAGGCTGGCTGGAGTTCAAAATGGTTAATTTTATTATTGGTTGATTGTTTGGGGTTTTTTTAGTTCATGAGAACCTTGGAATATAAACCTAGTCAGATTCATTATTGACTTGTAGGCTCTGTTGTGTCCCAGATTTATCTGAAATACGGGATGTTCTCTGGGTGGAAGCATGTTTACATTGAACGTTTAACCAACTGCTGCTTGTTCTTAAACTTCTTGTTCCCATCTCATCAGGACTAAATTTTCTGTCAAGGTTGTTAGAAACTCAGACAATGCTTTCTCTGCAGCAATGCTAAAGACTTCATGATCCAACAATAGCACTGCTTTTGGATCTTCTGTGTAGGAGTTTGATCATGGGCCATTGTGCCTATTCTAATGCTATGAAAGTTTTTGTAATGAGCACAGTGCTGTGTCAAGCATTGCTTTTGCTGCAAAGATTGATTGAACCAAGGAAGAGGCAATGTGAGACAACATCATGTGAGAAGGAGGCAATATGAAATCATCTCCAGTTCCAGTATATTTGATGAAGAATTTAGCAGAAGTGAAAGGAAATTGTTGTAATTTTGGCAAGATGGAAAGAGATCACTAGTTCAGGGCTACATAATAAGGATTAATCAGTTGATTGGAATGAAAACTGCTACAGCCAAATAGTTTGAGATCTAAAATAAATTCTTAAGCAAGAGGAATTTTCTTCACTACTATTATCCATAGATGTAAGCATGCAAAGAAACAATATGCTGAAAATTCGGGCCTGAAAGTTCTCCTTCTATGGCACTCAGGCTGTGCTAGAGACATAGCAAAGCTGTTGGAGCTTTCAGTCTGTGTTTGTGACAAAAAATGTATGTTAAAATCAAGATTTTTTTTTTTCACTACAGAAGAGGACTACTTTGACCTGACTGCAAGGTCAGTTAATATCTGTCCTCTCTGGTAAACAGATGGTCCAGTGAATATAGGCTCTTCTTACCCTCTCAGCAGCTGCTGAAGTGAGGATAATGTAATAAGTACCATTAAAAAAAAAGGAGTGGGAAGACATGGATCAAACTGATGATTTAGAAGATTTTATATTAAGTAGGAACAAAAGAGCAATGAATACTGTGTAAAATTTTTTCACAGCAAAAAGGAATCTTGTCTTCTGGTTTGTGTAATGACAGGCTGGTTAAATGAATTCCAAACTAAGAGAAGAAAACTCTTCCTTTGAAATTTGCAATTTTATGCTATGCAACCAGTATCTTGAAGAATATGATCTCTGCTTGAAAAAAAGTAATGTGTTGCTCATTAATAACTTGGGCTTTTGTGATGGAAAACATAAAGTTATACAAGATGTATTTCTGTTAAATGAATATATGCTGAATGGTTTATAGCTCATAAAAGCATGTTTTGCTCTATTTCCCTTGTAAATGTCTTTTTAGTGCAAGGGTTACAAGCACTTCCAAAGCTTTTGTAAAATAAAGCAGTCTTGCAATGAATTAATATTTTTCAAATACAACATGTAGTAGATATCCTTGCACAATAACATTGATTTGACAAATGGTCTTCAGACATGTTTTGAGTTTCAGTTCTGTTGGGATACTTGTATCACCCCAGTAATTCTGGAATCTCTTTCACATCCCCAAATAAGAGTTTTGTGAGTGAAGCTGCCTTGTTTTAGCTGTCCAGATGAAGTCAGGCTATTGTCCCCCTCTTCTAATCACTGAATCATCAAGCTTGTAAAAGACTTTCAGGATTATCTAATCCACTTGTTAACTGGGGACCATCATAACCACCCCTAAACCTAACCCCAGGTGCTACAGCCACTTCTCTTCTTATTGTCTCTGTTAGAGCAAGAAGCACTCATTGGATCTGCTGTGTCGATACCTTTAAGGAAAGCCAAAGAGTTTTGCAAGATTTTCAGCTCTTACTATAAAGCTTCCCACATGTTCTTTGTCAAGCAACAGATCTTTTTAACTGGATAATAATCTGGTTTAGACATGCTCAGGTCTTGCAGCATTCTATTCTTTCATGCAGAGTTGGTAGAATTTGGCTCTGACAACAGATAACGAATTATGTGACTGCATGATGTTGGATCAAAGTGGTAGACTGGAGCTTTGCATATATGGAACTTCACCTTAGTCCAGTTTCTGGGTATAGTGTCCCTGTATTCACATGTTTGTGGTACCAACAGAAGAGACTTTATCCAATAGGTCTGCAATTTTCTCTCCCCTTTCAATGAAGCTCAGTGCTGCCTTGCCTTATGTAAGGTGTTCCACCTCTGGGTGTTCCCTTAATCCTCATTTATAAGTCTTGCAGCTTTCACTGCTGAGGTTTGGTTGCCAACAACTATAGTTTATGACAGGAAACCTCAGTCTGTGAGAGAATCTGTAATACTAAGTGCTGATCCTTAGGTGCAGATTGTTCTTCTAGATTGTTCACAGTCCCTTTGTCACTGGACTGTAGTGAATTTCCATTCATTCATCAATATATTATTATTCTCAAAGGTGAATTATTCCAGAAGTACTTATGCTAACAACTTCTTTGATGTCTTTACATAGGCATTTTGTAGCTGTTCTTTTCTGTGTAAAAGAATTTTTTTCCTTAAAGAGGGTTTTACTTGGAGCATGAGTTTCATTTCTTTTCAAAAGAAATGAAGAAATATTTTCTTTGCAGAACTTGGGGTAAAGGTCATTCCAAAACTGTGTTGTGCTATAATGCCATTCATTCTACTGTGAAATGCTGTAAATCCAGAGACAAGTGCAATTTATCACAGCACAGCTTTGGTCTTCATATTTGTTCTGTTGTGTCAGTATTGCAAATTGTAGGTTACTGCCACATCTCCATATCCCAGAGCTACGTACAAAGTTCATGTCTCTTTGCATCTAGTTAAGCATTGTGGGATTTTTTTCATGGTCATTTGGTTCCAAGTTTCTCCTCTGTGATACCTTCTTGCCACTGCAGTGTCCCTAAGCCTGGGTACAATCTCTGCTTTTAAAGGCAGAGTGTACACAGGCAGTGCTCTCATGTAATAGCTTATGACAAGTCATTGAAATATTAACTTAAAACACTTGGTAAGCTCAAAATGTCTCTTGTATCACTCAGCTGCACTCTTCTTCAAATGGCTCTCTCTTTTGAGGTCAAGGCCTGCAGCACAACCCACAGGCTGGGTATGTGTCTCCCTTCCCTTGGTGCTGTTGGCTCTTGTTTACTCTTGCCCTCCACTGTGCTCTGGCTACCATTCCTCTTTTGTTGTTTCTCCTACATAACCACTTCCCAGCAAGGTCCTTTTGGTTGCTTTTGGGCAACACCCTCTCTATAATTTGTAATATGAATTGTAGTTGCATTGTGGGTTGATTTTTGTTTATTTGGTTTGTGGTTTTTTTTTCCCAGATGTGGCATCTAGATTGTCTTGTTAAATACTCTTGTAGTGGTCATAGTCTAGCATATATCAATACCTATATGGGCTAACAAGATTTGAAAACAACTTTAAAAGTAAAACCAGAACAAATATGTGGAACTGGTGGGCAGAAATTCAAACAACTCCCTGTTACTTTTTTACCTGGAAAAAAGTGACTTCTCAACAACAAATTGGAGTGTATTCCAATGTTTTATTTTGTGTTAATTATTTACAATATGCTTTTCTGTATTGGGTGCTATGGGACAACAGTTGCATATAAGAGGCACAGTTGGGTAGCTTTTGCAGCCATAACTGTGCATTTACTTTGACATTCATCAGGCCTTTGTAAAGCAAAAACTTCCCTCCCACACATTTTCTCTGTTGCCCTCTCACCCTCCTCCAACCACAGCAGCAGCTCCAAGTTCAGTCAGTTATAATGATTTTAAAGACTGTCTATCAGTAAAAGGAAGATGGTGTGTCTCATCTGACTTCTGACAAAAATAGTACTTTCATCATTGCATGATTGTGTATAATTTATTCATAGGCAACACTTGAGTTTTAATCACAAGAGTACTGTGATAAACCTTTTCCAGGGCTTTTATATAGGACTGAATAGAAGGCCAATTGGCTTAGTTTCAGTGCATGTCACGTCTCTGCTCCTTCTTTTGTTCTCAGTTTTTTGCATTATAGTTTCTTCTGCTTGCTTTTATGTAGAAGGGGAATCCTCTGAGGCTGGCTATGTTTGTTTGTCATTACTGAAGCAACTCTTCCCTGATGAAGGAAGCTTTCCATGAGTTTTTTTCAGCAAGGGACTCCCTGGGCACTAGACAGCAGGACCTGCTAGGGATGTTATAGGATTTTCTTTTTAGCTTTGAAGCTGTCTGGGTCTTGCTCAGTCTCAAACTGAAGGTTTTCCATGGTTCCTGGGTTGTGTGGGATCTAGACACATAAACCTAAAATTTGTAAGAAATAGTACACCATAAGCTTGATTCTTTTTCAACAGCTTCCATAGAACATTTGTAGGTTTGGAAAAGCTATTTAAACCAGCCTTTTTGGACTTCAGTGTTTACACAGAAAAACTGATGTAGTGCTGCAGAACCGCGCGCCCCTATGGCACTTGGTGTACCTTGGGTTTTGCTGCTGAATATGAAGAGACATCCTAGTGCCACAGTGAAAGGTGGTGGTAAGAGATCCAGGAACAAAACCCTGTCCTTGCTCTTTCTACATGAAATGATGCAAAGATTACCTAATGAAGTTTCCATGAAGAAAGAAAGATCTTATATTTCCTTTCACTGTCCCTCCAAAAGTAACAAATCAGCAGTAAGCTGCTCTTACTTTTTGGGTATCATACTATATGGAAGTCAGGAATAGTTTCCTGTCTTCTGATCAAGAATTGTGTTGTCAGTAGGAGTGATTGAGGTTTATTTCAGTTACAGCAAGGTGGACTTTCTTCTACCTTTACCTGCTGAAATAAATTAACAGTTGACACTGGACTTACTGACTGTCTTGAGTGTGCATTTCAGGAGCACTATCTGTTTAACCACACAAAAGTAAGAAATTAACAGTGTAACTGTTATTCCCCTCTGCAGAACTGACCCCTGAGGAGAAAGCCTTGAAGATTGCCAAAGCCATGCGTAAGCAGTCATCAGAGGTAAAAGAGAAATGGGAGAACCTAAATGCCAGTGCCAGTATCTGGCAGAAGCAAGTGGACAAAGCATTAGAAAAACTGAAAGACCTTCAGTGTGCCATGGATGACCTTGACGCTGATTTGAAGGAGGCTGAAAATGTGAGGAATGGCTGGAAACCTGTAGGAGACTTGCTCATAGATTCATTACCAGATCACATTGAGAAAACTACGGTAAGTGTGGAACTCCTGGGAAATATTTAGTTTGTTTGTGAGTTAAACCTCTCCATTCTAGTTCCTCTAGTCGCATTAGATATTTATACACTGTATGCTGAAATTCTCATGTGCAGTATAAAGTCTTTAAAGATTGTATCTGAAGTCTCAAATAAAGGCCAGAGCTGGGCCACATTCCCAGTGTTGGCTGGGATTACATACACACACAGATCTGTTTGGCCATCAAGTGTAACTCTTTCTAGAAAAACATTCAGAGCTTTCTTAATAACACAGAAATAAATACATAGTTTTAATTTATGTTCCTTAACTTTCACAAACTAAACATGCCTATTGTCTATTTTTTTTTTGTATGAGCAAATTTGCATTTGCTTTTACTTTAGCGTGGCTTCTCACCAGGATTATTTCAATCTGAAGAATACATAATACCTTATAATGTTGTTGTTGGCAAACCACTTTTTGCTGCCTGGGTTCCATGCAGGGCTCAGCATCCCAAGGCATGGCTGCTTTTGGTGGGTAGTAGTCATCCCCTGTCTAACTTCATGGATCGGGTAGGGACTTGGTAATGCAGAGCTCCTCAAGAAGGAGACTATCTTCTGATAATTAGCATTGTTCAGAAAAGCTGATTGGAAACAGTACAGTGCAGTGAATATCGTGGATTCCAGCAGAATGTGTGGGTATGCACATGTAGGTAGAGAAGATTGCTGTTTCGGGCAAATTCACCATTTACTGCTAAGCTTCTGTTTCACAAACACAGATTTTCATTTTTTAAGCTTAAGAATGAATGTAGCAAAGCATTAGAAGACCCTGGACTTGTGTACCTGACATTCTATGTCTTCAGCATAGCATGCTGGTGTTAGAAGAATAAAACGGGCTGCAGCCAGGTTTCTGTAGATATTCTCTCTATGTATACAGTGTCTGAATTCACAGGGCGACATTATTTCACATATAGCAATGTAAGCATGCTCATTCTCCAAATTGTATTGTTGCATTCAAGGTTAATGGAACTGAAATCTTTAAAACAAAGGCAGTCAAAGGTGAGTTAATATCCAGACTGCTGTTGATTTGAAAAGAGTAATGAATAATTTCCTTCTTCTCTTATATTCTAATATAGATGCTAAAGCAAGAAATAAGATGCTAATGCTGAATAGTTCCTTTTTTTCATGCTAAGAAGTGATTTGTCATATCTTAATGGCTTTTTCTGTAAAGTAGATGAAAGCAAAGTCTTTCAGATTTTCATTGCTGTGGAAAAACAGTAACTTTTGCTGAAACAATAGGGGCCTACTCACTGTCCAGAAACCCATTGTTTCTTTCTTAACAGTATGTTCTTTCTGTTCTTTCTGTTCCTTGGCCTAATGAGAGTGATTATTGAAGGGAGGTAAATAATTAAATTATCCAAAGAAAATACTTCCTTTACAGTTGTTTTGGGCTCATTTAATGATGTTTAATCAAGCTGTTTACAGGACTGAACACTTAACTGCTCACAGCAAGCAAGACATTTGAAGCATCTTTTAAACTTTAACTAAACTTGCATCAATTTTGTCTTAATACTGTATTTAGTTCGATTTGATTCAATAAACCTTTTACTTCTTTTTAGTCATTGTAATAGCTTTATTCTCTGGTTCTAATCAGGTAAAACATTGTACTCCTTTTCCTTAGAAGATGCATTCCTTCATGCTTTGCTAGTTCAATAATAGTTTTTAAATTGAATTTTTGTCAGCTGCTTAATACTTCAAAACTATAGCTACTGAACAGTGTTTTTCTTAAGAATAGTTGGCAGGCTCTATGCTGGTAAAACTCCTAATATAGCATTGTGTATTTTCCTTTGCAAAGAAAAAGCCAGACAGCACCACAAAAAAACAATTAATTAAATTCTTTTAGGGGTGCAATTTGCTTATGGGCATTTCAGTAAGTTTCATACTCTTTTTCCTTAAAGTGGATATGAATGAACTTTTTTTGCTGAGAACTGCCTTGTGTGCAGTTGTTTAGCATAAACTGCCACATTGGGCAGGTCAGCACCATGTGGAGTTACACTTTTGTGCTGCTCAGATGTCAACTGAACATAAGTGTCTTTCTTACCCTTCTAGGCTTTTAGAGAAGAAATTGCTCCAATCAGCTTAAAAGTTAAAACAGTGAATGATTTGTCCAGCCAGCTGTCTCCACTTGACCTTTATCCATCTTTAAAGATGTCTCGTCAACTGGATGATCTCAATATGCGGTGGAAACTTTTACAGGTATTCTTCTGATTATTTACAGCAGGCGTGTGGGGAGGGATATTTCTCACACTCCTCTCCTTTCTTAAAAGATTCATTTATTACCATTTGTTCATTACTTCTGTCACTGAGGTGTTATTCTGTTAGTACCAATGCAAAAAAAGGAGCTGCCTTTCCTGCTGTAGCTTGGCCAAAAGCTTTTCCTTTCAATCTATTTCAGCAGTTTATTCAAACAGGAAACTGCAATAAATTCTGGAAAATAGAGGGAACTATTGCTGCATGGTTCTTTTGTGTGTCTTGTAGCAGTAGATTTTACTGCATAAATCTGTGTCACCAAAAACGGGTGTAAAAATTTTTGTTGTTTCCACCTTGTGTGAAAGCTGTTTTATTGTCTTTGAATGTTCAGTTTCTGTAGGAAATTTCACTTAAAGTGATTTAAGTATTAGTAGAGCTATAACAAGATATATTCTAGAGCAATTTAGCATAAAAAGCAGAAGAAATCTGAGATGAGTGTGCCCTCACTGCTTTATTCCTTGTCCTCTGCTGCAGTGTCTGACCAGTGACTGTTCCAGAATCTTTGCGTGCTTGTGACAACTTTTCAACTTTTTCTTCCATTTCCTTTTGCTTCCTCACTTGCTAGGATGGCACAAAGGAAGAGCTCCCTGGATTTGTCATGTTTTTTTAAAGGGTCTGTGTCATACATTCCTGGAACTTCTAGTAAAGGGCTGGGAAAAGCACACATGCATTGCTTCCTCAGGACCTATCCTTGCATCTTTTTAATAAATGTTTTAGAGGTGTAAGCCTATAATCTCACATCTACTAAGGCAAAAACTGAGTTTATATAATTGTTATGCATAGATAGGTTGTGGTATTAAGGTTCATGTTGGTTTCCTGATGTTCCAGCCTACCTGCCATCATCAGAGCTAATGAGACAGAATTTTAACTCTATCACCTCTCCAGTTTTTTACTGAGAGCTTCTATAAAAAAGATAACATTATTGCAGGAGTTGTGAAGACAACATAAAAATGAGCAGATCTTTCCCAGAGATTTTGAAGTAGTGTATGTCACTGTATAGCTAATATAATTTAAATCACTAAATAAATCTGGATTTTTTTTTCTTGACTTATGTTACAACCATGTTCTTATTTTGAATTGACAGTTGGTTTTTCAGTAAACCAAATGCAGTGTATATAAAATATTACAGCTGTTATGCAAACCAGCAATTCCTGGAGCCATTTTGTCCTTTTTTTTAAATTGACAGAACAAACAAACAACTTCAAAAGTATAGGATTTATTTCTTTTTAAAAGCCCTATTAGAAGAATTGCATACTGTTGCCACAGTGGTTTTGTAGCTCTTGTAGTGTCAAACTTGTAACCTGACCGGTGCATCTATGTAATACCTTGTTAAAAAGATTACAGATCAAGTGCTACCTTTGGCTTTGCTGAAGAACGCCAGATGAACTGTTTGTAAGACTAGTCAGTCTAGTCTCTGTAAATAAAACAGGTTAGGAAGCAACGTAGAAGTTGTTTCTCAGAATTCTAGTTGTTTCTTTCTTATTCTAGTTGAGGGAGAATCAGTGGAAGAGTCCACATGTAAAACTTACCCAGAAAGGTTGGCTGGTTTTGTTTGTCTTGGCCTGAATCGTTTCCTTGAACTGGCTTACAACATGCCTCAATAAAACACCATGTTCACAAGTCTGAGTGGTAATCTGGCTTTGTTGCTGGTTAAAACATTTATAGAATTATGTCCACAGAGACTATGCAGTGCCTTATCAGCATTCCTCAGCCGTGTTTAGGCAATATTCTTCAGGCTTAAGGAGACATTCAGTTTGTTACATACCAAGGTAAAAAATGGGAAGTTTCCAGGATGATTTCCATGCTGATAGATACCACACAGAATTACAGCTAAGTAGCACAGTTTTGGAAAAACAATATGTAGTTATTCATTTAAACCATTTGCTAAAAACAACCTCTTTCCCCACACCAACTACAACTAAAGTATCTTAAAAAACCAACAACAACAAAACAACCAACAATCAAATATTTTCTAGAGCTTTAGCAAGATGGAGTTAGAGAACTTATACCTTCAACTTTATATAGTGTCTGGTAAATGTAAGTCAGGAACAGTAAATTCAGAAGTAAAATAATACTAGAAAAAATAATTAAATCTGGCAAGTTGAAGGCTTTATCCTGAGAGGTTGAAAGACTGTGTATTCTAAATCAAAAATTTCAAACCTTTTTAGCAGCAATAAGTGACTTCTAGTTGTGAGGAACAAATAGAGTAGTAGTCTGAATAGAACAATCTCAAACTCCCAAGAGTGAGATTGATTATATATGTATGTCTTCTGCAAATCTTCATTTCCAAAGTTGCACTTCTGAATTAGGTTTTTATCTCTGCTTATCTGACAGCAGCTATTTTCAGTTTACCTCACTTACTTGTTACTCTTCCTCAAAATACTAAGAAGGAACCATAACTTGCCATCACACCATTTTCAACTGACTAGATCCCAGTTACCATTTAATCAGGAATTTTTGCTAGCAAGACAGCTATTTCTGCCTGTTCATCAGATTCATGGAATGATGGAGTAGCCCTGTTTGAAAGGATCTGACCTCAAAAGATCATGTAGTCCAACCTTTTAGGGGAAAGGAAGCCTTGATGAGATTGTCCAGCACCCTGGTTCCACCCCTGTTAGTCCAGTGATTTCATCTCTGCAGTGGCCAGAAATGTTTCTGTGCTAAAAAAGCACAGTGCAGCATTTGATACTACCATGTGACTTCTTGGAACACCAATTGCATGTATTCATGCAGACCATCACTATGAAAGGGCTTCAAAGTCTTTAAAAACTACCAAACAATATATTATCCCTTCATAAAATGTTCTGTGTTAGGAGTCTGAGGTAAAGCTGTACTAGTAGGCCACTGCAGTCTACAATCCCTTTTTTTGCTGAGCTATTTGTCCCCTCCTGTCATTGGGAGGCAGAATTTGGTTGATTTGTTTTTCAGTGCTTTTGAGGTGGAAGGTAAGCACTTTTCCAGTTAGTCACTGATCAGTAAATTTTACACATTCCTAACACAGATAAAAGTGAAGAATCCTTATAATCCATTATTTCTTGCAAAAAGATTGCTTTTTGCTGCCTTCTGCTTTTAGAAATAGTAACTTGATTTTTCTGTAATAATTTTATTTCGTTTTTCAAGGCTGATGATCCACTATTCTGTTATGTTTTTTGTATGCTTTCTGAGACAAATCCATGAACATCCACAGAGCACTGATTCCACATGTTCCCTAACAAACAGTTTATGTCTCCAGTGGCCTGCTCAAAGCATCTCAGCCATACTAATATCTGCAGGCCTGCTAGTGAATGCCAAGTTGAGAACTACTATGTTCAGTTTTCATCAGTGATTTTTAAAAGAGAATGGTACTCTCATTTTTCAGACTTTCCTACAGCAGAGAGCTGGCAATGTTTTACAAAAATTGTTCCCAAAGAAATAGAATATGACTTAGTTCACAATAATTAGTAATTTAATTGATTACGTTTAGTTCATATTTATGTCAGTGCAGAATATCTGTATCTGTCATAGCAAATAAATTGTAGTTAAGCAAATTCTTACTTAGCTGACATAATTAATGTACTAGAACAGGAGCCACCATTGGTGCCAAATTGTGACACTGGAGAATGAAACTCTAAAGCTGATGGCCACTTTCACCTATCAGGTTGATTTTACTTTTTTTTTCTCAGATCTGTGAAGACCTAAGGATTATTTTTTAGCAAGCTACATCTGTTTGAACATTTAGCCTTTATGTTTTTTCTTTATCTAAGTCTTTATTGCAAATGTAACCTTCTTCAAATAAAGATGGAATTTTCTCTTGTTTTTTTTCCAGTAAAGAAAGTGGTTTACTTTATTCCTGTAATTTCCCCAATATTATTCCCAGTTAATCTGTCTTTCAGTACATCAATATTTCTTAAATTATAAATCATGGTATTTTGTGTGGTTTAGGAAGAGGTATCAGCCATGAAACCCTTGGGCACCAGCCAGCTGGTAGCAGGGCAAGACCTGTCTGTGTGTAGCTGCAAGAGCCTATGGGGCTTTTACAGCTTGTAAGTCTTCACTGCAGTTTACAGAGATCTTGAGGGAAGAGGAGAGAGTTACTTTCAAGTGGAGTTTTTTTTTTTTCCAAAGAAGGATGAATCCTAAAGTGGGCCAAGATTGTAGAAAATTACATTAATCAAGAGTTTAATTACTTGAGATCCATTGTGGATCAAAGCTGAGTCTCGTTTTACCAGGGCCCTAAATGGGGGCTGTCAGGACCCAAGAGCAGGCACTGTGTGTCAGCAGCGCTGTCATGTGTGTGCAGTGTAAATTCAGCGCGTGTTCCTGCCTGTTCTTTCAATCTCTGCTTACACAGGGAATCCAGTGCAAGAAGCTTTTTTCATGCTGGAACCCTAATTACTCAGGCACTATAATTTCTGATATATGTACCTATGTCTTTTCAAAGATAGCTATTTTTAAGTTGGGCACCAACAGTCCTGCTGGCCTGAACACTTTTCACCTTTTATCTCTTCACCTTTTGATCCGTAGAGTTGCAGTGTCATGTATGACTTCATGCCTTTTCCAACTCAGTGTGCAGAAACATTCCTGATATTGTGGATGATATCTGATTTGCATAAATTCTGCAAAGATTACAGTTCTTTGTCAAGGAGTGCTAAGACAAGTTTTAATTGTTTGGTTTTTTTCCTTGGCCATAGAATGTTAATCAATATTAATTTGAGTTGCAAATAGGAACTAAGGGTTGTAACTAATAAAAACAAGGTTGCTATTTCTTCTTCTTGTTCTGTTGCAGAGCATTATTTATACTAGTGGAATAATTTATTTTAAAATCATAAACTGATAATAGTCCTATAAAGGTAGGAAAACAAGTGCCTGCAGTTTCCCTAAATGCCTAGCTTGCTTGCTCAGAATTTATCATCCTTCTTTGAAGTAGAATCAACACATTTGTTTTATTCCAGTGTGGCATCAAATAGATGACTGTAATCATCCTGATAGATTGCCATAAGTTTCTTCTGCTGCTATTCTAATTACTGAAAGTAGTCTTGGAAATATTAATTGTTTGAATTTAATTTATTATAAGCATATTAATTGCAAAATAAATAAAAGATATTTAGATTCTTTTAGTATGACAGGTGCTTTCTAATAACAACCTTTTCTTTATTTCCTCAGCCTCTGTACAGTTTCCATGGCAGAGATCTGTTTCACATAACAAAGTGCCCTATTATATCAAGTAAGTTTGCCTTGATTCTATTTTTCTGAAGTATAACAGACAGTGCTATGACCATAACCTAGCAGAAAAGCATAGGTACTAAGTAGTTGCCAGAAATGCTGTTGAGATTTTCTCTATGTAGTATTGTGCCGCCTATATTGTAAAGTAATGTTTATTGCTTTGTGTGCTGCATAATTTAGAAATACATGAAAACAAGTCACTGACAAACCCTAATTAAGAACCTCACTCACATAGGAAACAGAAGAGGCACTCTAGTGTAATACACTGTCAGTGTTCAAACTGGACTTGTTCTTGTGTGTGTGACTCATTCAGAGTACAAACTGTAGAGGGGAACAAATTGAATAAATAATGTATTTAAAATCAAAAAGTTCATAACCTAGAGCAGGACAGTGGTGACTAATATCTATTGAGCCCATTCGTCATTTTGTGCAAAATTGCTTTGTAAATAAACGCCTCAACTGTTCTTTTGTCATCTTCTTTACTTTATGGTAGTTTTTATAGTAATTGAAGTTAAGGTAAATTTTACTCAGATATAAATATTTACAAAAATTTTACAACTACCTTGATTACCAAGAGGAATGGTTGAGATATTTATTTTGAAAATAATAAGGAATACCTAAATTAGGGGTGTGGAGATCTTGACATGTTCTATAAAGAGCAAACCCTTTGCTTGTTTTTTTAATCTACCAGTGTTTATTTTGTTTGCCTGTACTTTTAAGGTCAAATATTGCAGCTTTGAGAGGAGGATAGGTCTTTGCTAGAAAGGTAAATGAAATTTTAAGAAGGTACATTGTATAAGCGAGACCCCGAGTAGTACATTTTAGGCTGAAGGAAATCTGTGTTTAAAATGTTACCAGTTTGTGTTTAGGAAAAGAGTAGGGTTTTTAAATCTGTAGGATGACAGTGAAATGGATCTGAAGATAGTTCATTTTAAAAGAACATGAGGATTTTTTTACTATTGCATATTGCTCATAACTCTGAGAGCCACATGTTGTGCTTCAAACAATTTACAAGTACTTGAGAGCTTTGAAAGCAGGTACCAATAAATCTGTCAATCAAACCTGTTAGCCTTCTTGAGATGTGGCAGTTGTTTTTAAACTGTCATATGAAGATTAATTTCTTTAAAGGGTCTGAATAGGTAACCAGAAAAAGCAAAAACCTGCTATGAACATCCTTGAATTCTCTATAAAAGCATTTGTGTTTCTGCTCAAAAGTTTTGCAAGAGACAGCAGAAACTGTGGTATGATAGAGAAGAGGTTCTTGCCTCCCTCCCAATGGAAGAAGAGAGGGAAGAAGTTGGATGTGGAGGCACATTCACTGCTCAGACTCAGGCAGAAGTGCTCTTAAAATGATCACACCTGCAGCAGTAATTCAAGGAAAATGCTGAAGTGGCAAACTACAGGAAGCAAGAGGAAAAGTACGCTAAGCCTGTTTTTTCTTGTGGGTATGTCCTTAGTGGACATTGAAAGATTTGTGTTCCTGTTCTACCTTATCAGAGTCAATGGTTGGAGTTGGGGGCGTGAGTTGGCCTCAGAGGGTTTTGTGGAGCTCACCAGTTCATTCAGAGCTGGGGAACAGAGAGAGGAACAGATGGAAGAAATTAAGATATACCTTCTGATCCATGCACACCAGTTGGTGGTAAAGTATTCCCCGGGACAGGCCTTGCTCCTGTCGTAGGAGTGTGTTGGTGGCCCTAGAGCTTGATTGTGGAATGAAGCCAGCTGGAGCTCAAAAACAAAACCCAGCATCTCTTAGAAATTGTTTTTAATGGTCTTTCACAGAAAGTTTGGTAGTGGCGATAAGTGTAGGGCAAGTTCTTTGAGGGTCGAGCTCTTTATAGTAGCAGAGACCACTGTTTCATTTTCAGGATGGCTTTAATGGAGTCAACAGAATTAACTATTGCATCTCAAATAAGACTTTCCTAGTAATCTTTCCTTACTTTCAACATGATATATGCTGCTAAAGCAATGTCTTGATTGTTGTGTGTTGAAAAGGAATGATGGTACATTTAACTAGTGAGATTTACTTTTTGAAAAAAACTTGAAGGTTTCAGTAGCTTCACAGTCTGGAAAGAAGACTGACTTCTGCAGTTTCCTACATTTTTTATTTCTTACTGATCTAAACATCATTGATTTCAGCAGCATCTAGATAAATCAGAGAATTGTGGAAGATAAAGGAGAAAATAGCTGATTCTGAACTTCATTTGCTTTGTTATGATGAGGCTGGAGAGTACTCTTGGGTTTAAATACCTTTTTTTAATCTTTGTCTGTTGCTTAATTTCAGACACAGTTTAAAGAAGAAAGAAAAACAATACTGACACAAAAACCTTGTTAGTTTGGAATGATTACATGGAGTAAGACAATTCAAGAGAACAGTCAATAAGATTTAATGATTTTTATATAGAACGAAAGGCTAGGAAAAAGAGAGAAACTGATTTTTTTTTTTAATTATACTAACATCTTTCAATGAGTTGCCTTTCATGTAAAGCACAGCATGAGTAGAGACAACAGCTGCAATAAGTCTCAAAAACTTTATCATTTGAGAGCAACTGACTGTATTTACAAGAAGACTTCTGTGTTCAGAGGGAAGATTTAAGATGCCAGTTGTTCATTTTATGGTATAGCAGAACAAGGATAATAAAAGTATGATCCAGTGATAGGTGGCTGAAAAATGAGAAATTTTAAAAATTAATTTTGAAAGGGAAATAAATGCTAATTGAAATCAGATTACTTAAATTCTGAATAAGAACACTTTTTTAGACAACCATGAATTTATAACTTTACTTCATTTTCATAGCTTTTTGTCTGTGTCCTTGAATGAGAAATGTTAAATATTCAGAAAGTCACATAGCTGAAGATGATGATGTAGTTATACCTATGCTGAGTATTTGGGGAAAATAAGAAAAAATAACCAACTGCAGTCTGCAGTTTTATTGCATATAGAATGTAGTTTAAAAATATCGAGGAACTCTGCCTGAGAAGGCAGGAGAAAGTACTTTAGGTAGCAATTAGTCTGTAAGGAGAGTGTCAAAATGATGCAAGATGTCTGTATTTTCAGATAAGAAACGCTTTGTTTGGTTCCTGACACCAGAGGTAGCTTGCATTTACATGGGTAGAGAGAAGTGGCTCAGTGGAAGGTCTTTGGTGTGGTGAGTTTGGAGTGCAGTTTGTTGTCCCCACCCCATTTGCTAACAGTTGGCACATCTGCCCTTTCTGGGGTTGTATTTAATCAAGTAGTGAGGCACAGGAACAATCAAAAAGCCAGTGTACAACCTCCTCTGCCCTATAAATTCAGACAGAGGCAGTCTGGTTTGGGGTATTTTGGAAAGAATCAACTATCCTGCTTAGTGGAAGAAGAATTTTCAGGTTTATCAAAGTGTGTGTTTCCTGGGGTATGGTGGATATTTGAACTGAACTTACACACATGATTTACCCTGTCACTTCTCTTCTCTTGAATTGTCTTACTATCTAAGCCAGATTTTTGAAATGTTGCTGGTTCTGTTGATGTGATTTTAATTTAATTTCTTTTGCCTTCTGTTTGATTTTTTTTCTTAATGCAGTTATAGAATTATTTTGTATTTCTGTAGTCTGTAGGCACAGTAAAATTCAATGAAACCCTTAATCTGTAAAATCTTGAAGCTGCTGGAAAAAAAAAAGCATAGTCTTTCATTACATTTCAATAAAAATATTCTAAAAAGAAATAGAATAATAAACACTATAATCATTAAACTTCCATGAGAGAAACATGATGAATATGCAGAAAGCATAATTACCCTAGCATTTCTCACTGTTTTTCTTTTAACTATAATTTAAGTGTTCTTTGGCCATGTACCTTTCAATGCCATAAATTATTAGATATTTGTGCTGTGCAGAAGAAACAAAAGGGCAATACAGAAGAGGATGCAGTGAGTTTAATCTCATGCAGGGCATTACATAGGGAGAGCAATTTCTTGTTGCAACCATTAAATTGATCGATATCAAACGCCATAGTTGCCTTGCCTTTTCTGTAATCCTCCAAAGTGGCTGGCATCACCAGCTTCTTAGAAATCCTATTTTATCACCTCCTATATTTTGTTCAGCTTTATGGGGGCAGGAATAAAATGTTTTCTGCTTCTCCATTTTTTAAGACTCTTCAGAAAGTCTTTGCTGATGTTTGGTTTATGCCTGTATGTGGAAGAGGGGGAGAAGTAAAGGAGCAGAGAAAAAAAAATATTATAATTATATCCATAATCTCATTCTTATAAGTATTAGGTGTTTCCCTTAGAAGGGGAAAAAAATCTAATTTACAGAAAGAGGTAATACAAGTTTGAAGGTTTGAGAGTTTCTTCAATTACCAGTTCCTGTGCTTGTCTTCATTTTCAATTAAAGAAATGCAGTAGCACATTTCTCTGGAGTGATTTCAAAATATCTGCATATAAATGGTTCTGCCAACCTCTAAGGTGCAATACCCTTGTGATGCATTATGCCAACTCTTTTCACCACAAAACAGTATTTTCTAGTGGGCTTAAAAAAAAGAAAAAAGAAATGAAAATATTCAGTATCTAGCATGACACCATGACATAAAGAGGGAATGTTATGCCATTTGAAATTTGGCAAGGGTTGCAAAGTCAGAGTTCTGAGTGCTGTTGATTCATTAGTGATCAGTAAAGATTCTGAATTTGAGTAATGTTTTGTGCAAATGACTACAGGAACAGAAAGGTACTTAACATCCTGCCAGAGTACTGTTTCTTGTGGTGTTTGCCAGTGATTATCAACAGAGGCCTTGTCCATGATAAGAAATGATAAAAAATACCCACAACCTGTTTCTAGTTTCCTTTTTTGTACAATAAAAGCTGAATAAGAAAAACTGGATTTTTTTCACAACTCCATGGGCATCTTGAAACACCTGGAGATGTTGAACTTAATCCATTCATTTCAATAGGACTGTTCTTTTCTTTCTAGAGCATAAATTAAATTACATGCTAAGTGTTTCTTAGCTTTTTATTTACAATCAGGAAGTGTTTTTAAATGGATTATCTTTGCCAATTATAATTAGAAAGCTGCCAGCAAACATAATGAATAAGAAATAGATTGTAAGGGCAAATGTTTGTCATGTAAGCTTTAGAGCACTTTGTTAGTATGTGGGTGGTTTGTAGTTTGGAGTATTTTATGGTTATCTTGGTTTTTTGTTAATGAAATTTACACAAATGCATTTATACTTTTTAAGTTACACTGTTTTGTCAGATAATATATTAATGGGTTCATGTTTTGCTGTCTGGCTCATATTGGGTCGATAAGTTTGGCAGAAGAGATTTAGAAGACTCTTGCTCTGAATAACTCATACTTTTGATAGGACCAACAAAAAAAAAAAATCTCTTCTCAGTGAAATGCTTTTAATTCTTCCCTGACTAAACCATGAGGAAAGATGTAATATGTTCATACCCACTTGTGTTACTGCCCTGTAGAGCAGCTCACTTCTGTAATAGCAGAAATCCCTCGTTGTGCCACCCACTGAACAGAATGAAATCTTGTGCCCTGGGCTCCTGTACACCTTGAAAAATTCTTTGTTTTGGTGCCATCTACAAATGAGATGAATTATGGGTCCAATTGTTGTTCAGCTTCAATCAAAGTTAATATCACCTCACTCCACGAGTAGTTCTTGACATTGGCAGGGAGCTTACAAGGCAAGGTGCTCCTTGCACTGTCATCACTGTGACCTGGGACAGAAGTGCCATGCTAGGTGTAACAGAGAGAGAAGACTCTGCAGGTTCTTCTGCTCTTGATTAAATGCTTGGTTTGAAACTTTTTGGAACTTCAGTGAGATGATTTTTTTATAGCTCTTATTAAATTTACAATCATGTGTTTTTTTCCATGTCTCTGGTGCCTAAAAGAAACCTACCCATGGAATGTATTTGGTGGTGGTAGCAGCACTGCCTGTGACAGTGAAGCTGCTGCCTCTCTTGACCTGAACAGACTGTTGGGCTGGTGATTCATTCACTTTGAGCCCATTCCTCTTCTCTCTGAGATCCTTGTATGGAGTTGCTTGGCTGTTACCACTGGTTTCTTGCTGGGTGTTTTGGGAATAGGCTGGCACAGTCACCCTCTGTAGTCACTTAGCAGCTGTCAGGTAGTACTGACTTTAAGGATTTGGAAGGGATTCTCTCTTGCCTTTTTTCAGTTGCACCAGATGATGTTCACTTGGCCTCCTTACTCAAAAATTCTTTGTGGCATAGAAAGAAACTGAGTGATAGGTTTTAAAAGTCCATTGGTCTTTATGCCGTCTGGCACAAATTTCTTTTGCAAATAAAATTGAAACAGAAAAATATTTTATGATCATTATTTTATTAGGCATAAATTTCATGTTCTGTGTTTTTCTGTAAAAAGAAAATTTAGCTGTTCAGGTATTTACTGCATCAAATGGAGAAACAAGATTACAGTGCAGGATACAGAAGTTTTTGATATCGCGTTCACTTTTTTTGCTTCATGTTAAGTAAACACAAAATATAAAAAAATCATCATTTTATGGCATGTTTTCACTATTAAAATGATTTTAATCTTTCAGATAAAACTGTATTGAAACTCTGTATTTAAAGTATATGATTTCAATAATGAAACTGTTGTTTGCTCTTAATTCTTGGAAACTTGATTTAAGGGATAAAGTTTGATTAGTAAAATCAGCTCTTATTCATTGCATATGGGTTTATAAATTACTTACAAGCCGGAATCTAAATTGCAATTAGCTATACCCACATCCTAATTAAGTATTGCAAATGCATAATGAAGTATATTTCCAGAGGGGGAATAAAAAAAAGGCAAGGATTTATCCAAGCATTTAAGTATTTTTGATTCTATATTTTAAAAAATTTTAAAAGAAAAAAATAAAGAAGAGAATGGTCTCTGGACTTAGCTAAATAAACTTTGCATTTCTGCTGCAGCTCTCAGGAATATCCTCACAGCACCCCACTAGTCAGGAATATATTTGTTCATGAAACCATATGTTTAATGCCAGAAAACCGGGAACTGGGAAATAATGGCTGCAATTCAGCGAAGTCCCTATGATCATGGCTGGTTTTGCCATCATAGTTTCTAAGGCAGTAAACAGGATTTCACTCACCTAAATTGCATGTAGTTTACATGCAGTGCTTGTGTTGATATTTCAGCATTTAAAATAGAGGGAAATGTATTTTGTGTATACATGTATTTACAGCTTCTGTCACAGTACTGCCACCTACCTTTATTTTTCACATAAAAGATTGAAGGTGTTTTGGTTAAGGCTTTATTTTTCTCAGAATATCCTAAGAAATCCTTTTTCACTTAGAATGTTGACAATAAAATCACCAGTTGTTTTGGGGCTTGAGTTTTGGAAGTGGCTTCTTAGGGAATTTGAGTTAAAGCTATGTCTTTAAAACAAGCTTTGTTAAACTGATCACATATTGTATTCATTTCTGTGGGCAGTTGCAGTGGATTTAGTCAACAATTCTAAATGGGCAACATATTTATGGCATCCTGTTAACATGATAATGCAGATATTTGGCAGCTTCCAGAGTAGTTTTGAGATTATTATATAAATTGAGCAGGATGAACTATTAAGTTGTATTTCCTGTTTCTGTTTACTTCAGTATTTATTGAAGCTGTATATGTTCTTTTCATTGATATACTGTAGTCTTTTGACACCAGGGTGAGAATGCTGGACAGCCACTGGCCTTTACCATGGCAAAGCATAAAATCAAAATCTATTCTTTCTTGTTGCTGGCTTCATGATTGTGTTTTGTTGGTGTGCCTTTTACAGGAAAAGAATTTTCAATCGACTTGTTTTTGAAATTACTTTTCTGGGCAAAGATGAGCATAGTGCTGTTTTAGAACTGTCCTTCTAAAAAGTGCAAACCCACTGATTTACTGGCATGCATTAGCTTTAGAGTTTAGCATTACCAGAGCTTTGACCACCTTATTGGAAATTTGAAACATGAATGGAATTCATGTTATAATGATATTAGCATGAAATCAAATAAAAGCTTCTATTCAAGAAGATATATTCAGATGTATTTAAGTATTTTCTTTTGAATTGAGGAGAGCTTACTATTGTGTTTTAGAGTCTATCAAGGTCTGATAGAAGTCTTGATTACTGTTTAAATCTCTCTTGTTTAAATGTAGTCATGTTCAGTCAGTGACTAAGGAGTGATCACAAAGAGGGAAAAGAAGATTTTTACTTCTTGTATTAATAGGAAGTACATACTTTGCCTATGAGCTTCCATGGAAAACCCCTCACCAAGTTGTGATGGTGCCAGATAAACAAATGAGATCCATGGCAGAGTGTGAAGCATGATGGGGAGAAGCTGTCTCTGAATACCCAGGCTAGACTCAAAGCTGGAAAGGATTGTAAAATGAGGATCATGTCCCATGTACAGAGACTCATTTCAAGCACTTTCCGGTGGTGTATGTTTGAGGATAATGCATACACAAAAGGGTCCTCAGCACTTAGTTAGGAGCTTGCCTTTCCTTATGGTACATGTCCTGTCTCTGCAGCTCCCTGGAGCAATGACTTTCTATACAATTTTTTTTTTGGTACCACCAAGCATAAAAGAGTTTATTCTTGGTTGTTTTCCTGATTAAAAAGTAAATTTAATGATAAATTACTGTGCTTTCACTGAGGTACAGCTGTTTATATGTAGCAAATGATGATGCAGATCACTATGTTTAATACCAAAGTGGCCTTTTTGATGTCATTATTTACAACCATGTATCCCTCTATGCAGGGGAAAAAAAAGGATATATTAACAATTTTTGAATAGAAACAAAGGTGAAATACTTAGTGTTCTCTGAGTATTGCTGTTAAATTTGATAACATAGCATCGTTTTGTTTTCATGCACTTTTAAAGGGAATTCTGTGATCCTTTTAACGTGACTTTTCTGATTAATTACCTTGCAAATCTAGTTCAAATATAAATAGTTTGTAAGACAAGAAGGTGCAGTCTTTCCAACAGTTAATATTGATAAATAGAAGTGAAGTGTGGCTAGTAGAAGGGAATTCAGAAAGATTTCAGTGGACCTGACATAATACATGTTTTGACTCCTATGGCTGCCTGCTTGAAACTCCAATAAATTAAAACAGCAACACTAATCAGTAAGTTAAGGGATGCTGCCCATTGAATCTCTGTTCTGTGAACAGTAGTGTAGAGCATATCCCCTAAATCAAGATATTTATTGATTGTTTGTGTGAATGGTAATCAGGTTTCCCATTGGACTCCATGATCTTAAAGGTCCTTTCCAACCTAAATGATCATGTCACATGTTAAATAACTGTTACAGGTAAAGCTTACCATCATTGTCTGTGTTCTGATACACATACTCAGATATGCAATGAAGATTGAAATAAAATCTCAATATTTTTATTTCTAAATTGTTTTTACAACTATATTTATAATTTTACAGCACAGGAAATTTTGTACTTTTACCTTATTAGTGTACCTATTAGCTGTAGGGTCAGAGTCCAGCTCTTACCATCACAGTTAGAATCAAAAGTAAATATTGTTAAATATGGGTGGGCTGTTGTATGACTAACTTTCTGATTATAAAATCAAGGAGCTGGGTGGTACAGATCATGCATTTTAATTAGAGCTGAGGGAATTCTTGCAACTTAAATGCAGAAAATCAGAATATCTTTAAGATTTTATTCTGTGGAAGTGCATATGTGTGTTTCCTGAAACTTTAATTACTTTGTTCCTTTGTAGTCATGAGACACAGACTACTTGTTGGGATCATCCTAAAATGACTGATCTCTTCCAGTCCTTAGGTGAGTGCATTCATTAAAACATTGTGATTTTTATTCCATTAATAAAGGCTGCATTTGGATACTGACCATGTTTGAGTTCTCATGACCTGAGTGTAACAGCATTTCCCACTTTGTGATGAGACACACTTTGCCCAAAACCTAATGCCTTGGTCACTGTATTATATGTTGGCAATATTAATTCTGAACCACATACTCTGACTGTATGCTTTAATGCAGTACCTTGGGTTTTTTTCTTTTAACTTCACAAGGAATTAATTGTGCAATGATACAGGCTCTCTGTATGTTGAAACCAGAGCGCTGGTCTGCAAAGAACTAGTTTTGGAAATAAAATAGAGCAGCTACCTTTTCAGTAAAAGCTAAACATATTATGGTACAACTAGTACAACATGCCCTGATAGCATCAACATTTACTATGAAATCTCCATTTCTAAGGAGAGGAAGGGTAAAAATATTGTTAAGTAATGGAAAAAATGTTATTGTACCAATCGGTTTCTAAAACAGCTTACGGATATGTGACTGTCTCTTTTAAAGCACAGTTTGCAAAGTCATGGCATATAAATTAGAGTTTAAGCCATTTTTTCTGTTACTGTGACATTTGCTGCCCTCTGTATGTTATCTGATGGAGTTGTAAATTATTTGAGAAACTTACTGTATTTGAGCACTTATGGGAACTATGTACCATGCATAATACATATATGAAACTCTCCTGTATATGTATGTATTGCATGTGCTAAGATAGTGTTGGCATTTCTGGTGGGCCACTCTCTTTAAAGTCCTGGACTGTCAGAGTCAGGAGGCTTCCCTGAAGGTGAATTGGACTGAGGTCCTACCTTGTCAGGTTTTTTAATTTGTTCTGATATATCCTATTAATTCATTGCAGAGAAGAGGAGGGATATCAGACTTCTTCCAAAACATGAAGGTTTTTGTGTAAAGGAAGGTTATGGGCTGTACTTTTAGGGCTGTTCACGTTTCTGTTCTGCTGTTTCAGCTGACTTGAACAACGTGCGCTTCTCCGCCTACCGCACGGCCATCAAAATCCGCAGGCTGCAGAAAGCACTGTGCTGTGAGTTGGGCCTTGGAGGGAAATTGTTTCTCTACAGTACTTGGGGGAGGGTCAGCTTCAGTCTAACAACATTAACGGTGGCCCAGAGTCATCCTTGACACACTGTCAACCAACAAAATGGCAAGAATTGCCAACAGTAGGTGTCGTTATCGCAAATAAAGAAAATAAATTAATAAAAAAAGAGGTGCAGCAGGTAAGTTGAAATGCTAAACTCACTAAGAATCATTTGTATCTCAAATTTTGTTCTGCAGGTAAATTTTTTACTTATAAATTTATTTATGTTGCTAGGTATTTAAAAAACATTTCCTATTACATGACAACTATGGTTTAATTCAGCCATATGTTGCATGATTACCATGTACATTCAAAGTTTAGCAGCCTCAGAAGTGATAGATAAGGAGATCTTGTCCTGGCCTGTGGACTTGGGACTTCTCCAAGTCACACAGCAAGTACCACACTGGGAATCTGTGCTCTTTTTGAGCCTCCTGTACAAAGCAAACTGAATTTTAAAAACTATGGAAAATGAAATACATAAGAACACACACCTAACAGAAAAAAAAAAAAGAAGGTGAAGTAGAAAAAAGCAAAAGGAAACTAGACAATTTTTGAAGGAGATGTGGGATGTGAATGTGAGTAAAGGTTGCAGATTTTAGACCTTCTGAAACATCTTGGCAACAGATGATAGAAGGATGTATGATATTACCAAAATTTCCTCTTACAAATTAGGAGTCCTTGGCATGGAAGGACTTTTCAGCCCTTCAGGGTGAACAACACTGCAGGCTGAGTAGGAACACAAGAAGTGCAAAGTCCTCCTAGGGGTGCAAGCAGGAAAGTAGTTGCACAGGGTGATCCCTTCTCACCCTCCAGGTGGTTAGTTTTCTTTCCAACCTAGAAGACAGCAGTCTGATCTTAGCTGGCCTTCAGATATACATCATACTGAATGAAGCTGTGCCTGAGATGGTAGCTAGCTACTCCAGAAAGCTGGACTGCATCTGTGCACAGCACAGGCTCTTATCAGTACCTATTGCCAGTTCTTCATAAGATGTGGTGCCAGCAAGAACTACAGCTTCATCTCCCAGCAAGACCAAAGAACATATGAGCTTTTTGCTTATCAGTGTGCAGGGTATAAAGTATTCATCAACATGGACCTAAAAACAAAGAGCAAAGCAAGAGATCAGAAGGTAGAGTAAAATTCTCCTTGTGTGAGCTGCTGCTCAGGGAAGGAGCCCTGTGGGCACTTCGTTCTTTGAGGGAAGAGCAGGAACTGCTATCGTTTGCAAGGTCTTTTTTATTAAAAACTCCACAGTAATGCCTGGCTATTTTCCATGGGGTTATAGCAGCCTCAAATTTGCCATTAGCAGCTACATGTAGCTACTTGCTCCTGAGCCAGTCACTCACACCTGCTTTAGCAGTGCTGAATGATATGATTTCTCTTTTTCTTTGGGAAAAAGAGAAGGGGAAGAAATGGGCCTTTTGCCCATGAGTTGGTTAAAAGCAGGATTGGTCATTCAGCATGTTTAAGCAGATGCAGAATAGTACTGCAAAAATGCACTGAAACCTGTGTGGGCATCGTGCCAGAAATGCCATGACAGGATAATTGCCTGAATTTTATTCAGCCAGGTAAGTGCTGAAATAAGCAGGAATGGAAGTAATTTCCTCTGGTTGTTCTCCATGGATAGTGCCATCCAAAAGTGTTAGTTTACCTTAATTTACATTACTATAGCATCAGAGTTGTGGTTTTAGTACAAAAATACTGGAAGTATCTCTCCCAGGTCCTTCTGGAATGCTCAGGCAGAAATGTGAATGAGAGGTCTTAATGCCAGCAGATCAAGATGTGAAGTTAGCAAGCTGTCTGTTGAATTGCTTCTTTTTAGTGCAAGGATGGTAATGTTAAGCCAAATCCAAAGGCTACAATTTCCTGGCATTCCAAAGATTTCTGAATTTTCCCAAGCTTTAAAAAGGGCAGGTTTTGTGTGCTGTCAGTCTGTTTTATGAAGCTAATTACCTGCTTTTAGCCATCCATTAAGTACCTTACAGAAACAGATTGCAAAATAACCAGAAAACATAAAAACCCCAGACAAACAAACAAAAAACTCCCACAATTCAAACACAAGATAAAAGCTAATACCAAAACAAAACTAGCAAACTGGTTGCATTAATTTTTACAAGGTTTTCTTTGTCATTAAGGTTTCTGAAGTCATCAAGGATAGGTGTGGAAAGTGGCCATCTCTTAAGTTCAATATGTATGCTATGGGGATAGCAGGTTACCCTCAGCTGGCTTCACTCCACTCTCTCCACATCTCAAAAATTAGTCATGGTTACACTGTGAACTGTTTGTGGGTTCATGTTGGGTTTAGATATGCCTGTGAGCCTTTTGCAGTGTATCACATCCTTTATAGCTATTGCAGAAGATTATGCTGCAGTGAGTGTATTGCCAAACACTACGGCTACTTGAGGTCAAACTAGTGGCAAGGTGTTTTGCTGCAATTACCAGTCTGCCTCTTTGATAAATACATGGCTGGCGTTTGTTTGCAAGCCCAAGAGAAGAGCTTAAAATATCCCCAAACAAACAAGAAAGAAAATGAAAAACAAACAAATGTAAACCCCTGCAAATCTGATGCTGTGAGGTGAGAACGAATGTACCAATTTTAGTGCAGAAGAGAAAAGGCAAGGGCTGTGAGGTACTGTTTCTCCCTTAGCAAAGATGTGAGGAAGGGTAGATAGGGGAAAAGAGAATGCAACCTTCTTTTGGCAGATGATCACTGAGTTCTTGACAGAGTTGCTTATAGTGGTTAATGTTATCTTGCTCTTGCTTCTTTTTCTGTTGTACTTAATTTCTAGACCAAATAGAATTCTCCAATTTGCACAGGCTGCAAATCTGGGCTCCTTATTTAACATTGTTATTCTCTCCCTCGGCCCTTGTGAGACCCCACCTAGGATAATGCATCCAGATCTGGGGTGCTCAGCACAGGAAAGATGTAGATCAGTTGGAGGAAGTCAAGAGGCAAGCAGTGAGGATGGAGCACCTCCTATGAGGAAAGGCTGAGAGAGTTCAGGTTGTTCATCCTGGAGAAGAGAAGGCTCCAGGGAGACCTTAGAGCAGCCTTTCAGTACCTAGGGGAGGCTTGTATAAAATTGGGAGAGTAACTTTTTTAAAAGGACAGATTGTGATAGGACAAGGAGAAACAGTTCTAAACTAAAGGAGGAGACATTTAGATTAGGTATTAGGAAGAAATTACTTACTGTGAGAATAGTGAGACACTGGCACAGGTTGCCCAGAGAAGTTGTGGATGCTCCATCCCTGCTAGTGTTCAAAGCTGGGCTGGATGGTGCTTTGAGCAGCCTGGTCTAGTGGGAGGTGTTCCTGCCATGGCAGGTTTCTAGGTTGGAACTAGAAAATCTTTAAGGTCTCTTCCAACAAAAATAATTTTCTGATTCTATGATTCATTGTGATGATTGCTGAAGAGCAGTTCACAACATGTCAGAGATTTTCATGTGGATTTTTTTTCATTTGAGAGATGACATTTATTGTACAAATGTGTTACTGACTCTTCACAAACAGCTCAGAATGAACTTTTAATATACTCCAACTGCATGCTATGTATGTTGTAGCAAGCATACTAATACATTGCAATTATATTTTTAACTTAAATTCTTTGTTTCCATAAAAAAAAGTCACTGAGGTTTATACCATTTACTTTTCATCTTTTTCAGTTTTGCAAAAGGAGGTAGAAGAGCTCATTGGTGGCCTTTTCTTTTCACCATGCAAACCCCAGATTTTCACAATCACATTTGAATGGTTTTGAGAGCAAGACCCTTTTTTCCCCTTTTAAAATATCTATTGCATCACCAACTGCTTATAGAAAGAATTCTGTAATAAAGGAGATAAAAATGTTTCAAGAAAGCATAGCATTTAGTGTTCTGGACAACTACAATAAATTATCTTCCTGCTTTCTTTTAAGCCCTAATTTAGCAACTGCTATTCATTTAATCATGCCTTTAGGAAAGAATTCTTACCTAAGAATTTTGCTTGCTTTACATTTGATAAAAAGTGATAGTCATTTTGTAGGATTCTGCTTTACGGTAAATATGAAGAATCCTGTAAAGCCTCATGAATTCCCTGTGTGTGCATCTAAAATTGGGATCCTCTAATTACACAGACTACTTTAGCAGCTATTTTAATATTGTTCTGGGCTGTGCAGTGCCATTATAATGTTTGTATTCTAGGTTTTTTTTTAAATAAATAGTGCCCAGATGCTGTCGACTTGTCCCAAAGAATGGTTTGTCACTATGACATTACTAAATGAAAGCCACTGGGCTAGTTGTTTGCAGTGTTTGCTATAATTTGCACATAATTATTGTAAATATGTATTCACACTTTTTTTAAAAAAACTTTTTTAATCCCATTATTTTTAAAAATATATTATTAGTGGACCTGTTGGACCTGAACACGACAAGTGAAGTTTTCAAACAGCACAAGTTGAGTCAAAATGATCAGCTGATTGGTGTCCAGGATGTGATCAGCTGTCTCACTACCATCTACAGTGGACTTGAAGAGCAACACAAAGATATGGTGAATGTTCCTCTCTGTGTAGACATGTGTCTTAACTGGCTACTCAACGTGTATGATAGGTAAGAAAAATGTGATTTTTTTGTCACAGTGTGTACCCTCAGGAATTATAAATTATAAAGCCTTAGAAATTTCTTTATTAAAAAGTTACATTCTTATGTTTTTTGGTTTTGGCTCCATAATGAAAGTGCAGATGCATGCAATAAGATACTCAGTGCTGAGCAGGCTGTCCTGCTCAGCACTGAAGTAAGATTACACTGCTTTTATTCTACTACCAAAGAAACATTGAAAGTATTTCAAGAAATATGTATGTGAGTAGAGAGCTAGGACACTGCTTTAGCTGTGTTCCTACTGTGAATATTCCAAGGCTACCAGACTGATGGCCATTCAGATCAGATTCTATTTCTGCCATAGGTGGGGATGGGTTTTTCATGTGTTTTGCCCTTAGTTACTTGCACTCATAATACTGGCTGAGCTCCCTGCCCTGAGTCCTCTATCAAATGGAGGTTGTGGTGATCTCAGCACTAAAGCCTGTCTGATTCTGGAGGGTCAGCAGTGTCCCAGCTGTGGCTCCATTCCAGCACGTATAGCTCCTGCCATGGATCAGTTCTGAGGGCTGGTGTTATGTGGTGCACCTGCCCTTGTCCTGGCAGCAAGGCTGTATTTCCCAAGGATATTGTGTTTGCCTAAAGAATATTTTTGGATGCTTACAGTAAGAACTTGTGGGTTTATTTAAATACACATTTGCTGCTTCCAGAGAGATAACTAAGTCTCAAAACCATGAAAACATCCACTCCAGCAGCCCTTTGTGGTTTTGGCCAGTTCTTTCTGAGCAGTTTGTCAGTTCTTCCTTCTGCAGGAAATTGAACTCTGCCCTCTCTGCCCTGCCCTATGTCAACCTGCATGACCTGCAAGGAATCTGCTTTTATTTAGTTGTGCTTTTGAGTCATGAGTTTGTTGCTTATTTTTCATAGTGGCATTTACTATTCTTATCTCCCTTGTATAGTAAAAACTGGAGAAAGGCTTGGTTTCCATCAGCTCCTCCGTGCCCTGAAATGTGTCTCCTTACATTGCTTCAGCAAAGGCATTTCAGGACTCTTTCAGAGCTGACTAAAGACTCAGTAGTGCAGTACAGGTTGTGGTCGCTTCAATGTGTCTGATTAAATATGTGCTTTAGTTCAGAGCTGTAAACAAAATTACAGATTGGAATTTTTAAGCTCCATGAGGGTGGTTACAATTTTTTTTTTCTTTCTCCCCATTTGAAGTTGAAAAGAGCAAAAGTATTTCTTGAATAGCGATAAAAATTCTTATACCTGGCTTTGCAAATGGGAGCTTTTACTTGTAGATGTAAGCATTATCTTCAATATGTTCACTCAGTGCAAAATTCTAACAGTTCATAGCTTTTTGCTTTTTTCCCCTTAGGGATTATGTACCAGTTCTCCTATACTTCATGGATATTTTACTTTATTTTTGTTTTAGAGATGGGGAGCGAAGGAGGGAATAGAGTACATAGAACCATTTGTCATTTATCTGCTGGCTACTGGCATTCAAAAACTGCTGTTAAATATTGTGACATTTCCGTTAGTCGGACTGCTGAAAAATTAAAGGGTCCATCAAGTATTGACTGGGATTTCTTCCTGCATTTGTTTTTATTTTGGAGAGTTCTGTATTGTGAATAAACAAACACATCGCTAGGAAATAAACCAGTAGATCAAGTGAGTTGCTTGACTTAAATGTTACTGGCAATTTAGAATAATAGACATAGTAATGTCATAAACTTTTTTGCAGTTCCTAGCTGGGTTTTGGTTTTTTTCAGACTGAACACAAATCTACTACATTTTCTTTAGCTTACCTTTGCATCTTAACTTCGGGTAGAAGTCGGTTGTTTAATCTGTTCATATTTAAAATGCACTTGGTAAACAGCAAACCTTTCGTTCAATAATGTTTCCAGTTTCTCCTATTTCCCCTTGACTATTATGTTGAAAACTTAGTGTAGATAATTCTTCAAGTCCGTTAAATACTTGAGTCTTTATTTAAACTTTGAAAAATTGAGGATGAAGGTTTACTGAGAGAAAATTACATTTTATAGTGTGTTTCCTTGTTCCCCTTTCAAATTCAGTCCAGGAAGAAAAAGAAAAGGTAAAAGACCAGGCAACAATTCTAAACTGGAATATTTGGTTTTGTTTTCTAAACTAGCCTTTACAAAAGAGCTAATTTGTGTCTTGGCATTTCCATTGTATAGAGTGCATTGGTGTTATGCATATAAAATGTGTCAAGTTGTTAAACTGCCAACAAAAAGCATCTGTTAGTCACATGCTGCTAACCTGAGATTTAATTACAGATTCGCAGATTAATGGCAAACTGAATAGTTCTCCAGACTTAACCTGCAGATGTCTTTGGCCCTTAAAAAAGAACCAATTTATTTTTAGAAAAGGTCTGTTATGTTCTGGTTTTTTTTCTGACACATTAGGAATGATTCATTCTGAGCAGAGAAGAGAAGCACTAAAATTACTCAGTGACTTTTACTACATCAAGGACTCAAAGGTTGTTCCAGACATCAACATCTGCCCTTATAAACATTTTCCAAACTTAAAGTTCTTTGTTTTAGCCAGTCCATTTTTTTTTCTTTTAATTTGTGAAATTAGAGATCTTGATATTTACAATGAGAACTGTGAAGGAAGTTTTGCTCTGTAAAATATTTTGGCTAGACCTGTGTTTAAAGCATCCAAAAGCAGTAGCTGGTGGTTTTCTTTTCAGCTATATACTGTCACATTTGCTGAAATCTCTAGACATCATTTGTATAAAAAGGACTGATAGCTTTCAGTACTAATGGAATAGCTTAACACCCCTTGAAATGAGTTGCTTCTATATGTACTGATTCAGGGTGATGACTCATTTCAATTAGAATTACCCATAAAGAAACTTTTATGTGCACTGTTTAAATATTTTGCAATGTTTATCTGACTTCCTGTATTTCAACTTTTAAATTTTCTTAGTGTTTTTTTTGTTTGTTTGTTTGTTTGTTTTTAATGCTAGGATACTTTTGATAATGCCTTCTTTTAAATTGAATTTCTTTGGTACGTTAGTCTGAGAAGGGTATCTGTGGTATCTATGCTGACGTTTTCCACATGATCAAAGCTGTCTTTCATGCTCATTCTCTGCAACCCAATCTTCCCCTGAAGAATCACAACTTTGTTTTCATTGCACTCATACACCTGGCAGATTCTAACACCAGCCTGAATTAATATCCCAGGCCTTACCAGAGTGTCCATTTCAGTAAAATCTGAACTTCTGAGGAATGAGGATGAGATACCTGCTCAGTCAGCCTTAACTTTATGCCCTGGTTTTGACAGTAGCTGATGGAAGTTTTCTGCATGCATTCCTCTTGCATCCCCGGTGTTTATGATTGCTGTTTGGATTCAAGAGCACTCAGTGGGAGCAGCTTAGCAGGCTGTGGTAGCAGTACGAGGGCTCTGGGACGGTTCTGGCCCTCAGTAAGGCAGGAAAATTAGTTCCTTTGTATGACTTGTCTGTGGATGATCACGGGGAGGTGTCTGTGCTGACCTTCACTGATCTCCCAGGCTTCCTGGTGTTGCTGGGCTGTGCAGATATCTGAGAGCTGCAGTCCCTGCAGTCCTCAGCTGCACTGCCAGTGTTGTCTAGGCTTGAGAGCTCTTTGACAAGAGAAGGCTGAATGGCTCTGGGCTTATCTGCGTTCTCTAGTTTTCCTTGCTAGTACCTGATGGTTTTATGCTATTGACCCTCCTCCCCCAGGGACATAGGGTTCCTCTAGACTTCATGTTATAATTCTGTTTTCCAAGATTCTTTATTGTTTATTTATGGTTGCAATCTCTTATATTTAATTGTGTTGCCTGTCTGACAACTTTTTTCTAATCTGGCTAACTCCTGTATGCAGCTGTGCCTATCACTGGTTGTCCCTTTGGCAGTCACATGCTTAGATAAAATGCTTATATATACTATGTCTGTGTCATCACAACGCTACAGAATATTTGCATACCATTGTTGGTAAACAGTATTTTTTACACTTACATTCAACAGTTTAGTATTATTTATATCCTGATTAGTATATTTATAATTTACAGGTTTCACAGGCATCTGTTTTGACTACAGTATAGACTGTGTTTGCCTGTCAAGAAGTTTTGGATCCTAACTCTGTGTTAGGAGGTTATTTAGAGAAAGGAATAGATTCAAGCTCCCCTTCATCAGAGGAAAAAAAAAACAAACCGTGAGCTGTTTAAAGTGGCCTTATCAATTGATTTTGTAATGACAAGCATGCTTGTATTGCTATAATAAGTCTGAATAGTGTGCTGACATTTGTAGCAGATATGACCCATAAATTTTTATGAATCCAGAAATTAAAAAGTTTCTTGAATCTTTCCACTATAAGGCCTTGATTCTTAGGTTTTGTACATGTAGGACAATTAGATTGTTATGCTGCCATTCAGAAGCACTTTGCAAGACAGGCTTGTGGCAGAGTAATAGTCTCCCAACAGGTTAAGGGAGGTTATCCTGCACTTCTACTCAACATTGGTGAGACACATCTGGAGTCCTGGGTCCAGTTCTGGGCTCCCTCAGGAAGAAAGAAACATGGAGAAATTGGCATGAGTCCAGTGAAGTACCATGAAGACAATTAAGGACTTGGAGTAACTGGTGTATCAGTAGAGGCTGAGGGAGGAAAAGTTTCAGGGGGATCTTATCAGGATGCATAAATACCCAATGGGAGCAGAAGAGAAGATGGAGCCAGGCTGTTCTCAGTGGTTTGCAGTGACAGGACAAGACACAGCTGGCACAACTTGGAACACAGGAAATTTTGCTTAAACATATGAAAAGAAGATGCTTTTAGTGTAAGAATGATCAAACGGTGCCACAGGTTACTCAGAAAAGCTCTTCAGTCTCCATCCTTGAAGATACTGAAGTGGGATATGATCCAGGGAAACCTGTTCTACCTGACTGAGCAGGAGCATTGGTATCTGGAGGCCCCTCCTGATCTCAGTGGTTTTGTGGCTCACTAAAATGGGAAAACCTTAAATCATTGGCTTGGAAATGTCAGGACCACAATGTCTGTGGGGAGAGAGGGAGTGTATGTGGTATTTGGTTTTGGTGTGCTGGGTTTTTTTACTGTGTATGTGACATTACAGTGCTAATATTTATCTGTTTCCAAGAAAGAAACTAAGGGTGAATATGTTTCTCTTTTGAAAAATGTAATATTGCAGGCTTCGTAATTATTTAGGTAATTTATTGAGAAAATGCTCTTTGTGTGAAGGAAGTTTTTCAAAGATCCTGCAGAAATCTCCTGGAATCAGGAGAAGCTTAAAGCCTTGATATTTGTGCCCTGATCTTTTAGCTGCAAAGTCTCACTTTGTGTCCTTAATAAACAAATTATGTGGTCAGTCGTGAGTTAAATCAAACCCAAATGAATGTTTACTTTTTTTCTGATGAATATAAATTTAAAGCACAAACAACCATACACAGGAAGGAATAGGAAAATAACTTTATCAGGGTGTAAAATGAGCCATTTAGATGGCAAGGTATGCCAGAATGATGTAGTGTCTGTGATTGAAAGAGGTAATTTGAAGCTAAGCTTGAATATATAAAAAGGTGGCACTTTTACAACATTCTGGAAAATTGGGTCCTGATTTTCCAACTAGGCAGTAAAAGTAATAGATGTTTTTGATTAATTTGGCAATAATTTCTCTGTAGCTCTATTCTGTTTTATGGAATGAAGATACTGCTGTCTAGTGTTGCTAGATTAGATGATGTTGTAAAGACAAATGCATTAATATTTGTAAGTTGCTTAGCTAATCTATCAAGAACCCAGGAGTAAATTAATAATTTTGTATTCAGCACAACATTTGTGAAGTAAATCAGACAGCAGAGCATATGCTGAATGGATAGGGTAGAAAGAGATATGTAACAACCACTTCAGAAGTAATTAAAGTGTTTATAACTTCTGTGTGGCAGAAAGAACCAAAGTAAGGTTTGAGGTGATAATTAATTTAGTGTTATCTTACTTGTTGGTGAAAGATCCAGCTAACCTTATGTGTGTAATATATAGAGTTTAACTATTTTTTAGAATTTTTTTGCCACATCTCATATAAAGGCAAATTGTGTCATGTTTTTTTTCATGTTTGAAAAAAGAAAGAATTTTAAAGAATATGTTTCTGCACTGATCTTCCGAACTTCAAAATTGTCCTTTTCCCTGTAAGCTGGCTTTGTTGTTTTAGTATCTTTTTGAACAGCATTTGCCCTGCAGCTTAACATTACTTGCTTTGGTACCTACTTGTCTGTTCTCAAGTTGCTTTTCAGGTTTGGACATACTTTTTGTCATGCTGGACAAGATGAGCCTGAAGTGACATTGCTTAAAAAGAATGAGAGCTCCAAATCATTGAATTAGTGCATGTGATTGCCTCTTTATGTCCCAAAATTGTGTATGTCAGGACATTTTAAACATAAAAGGAAAAAGGGATTTAATTACTGTGATGTCAAAACTTGGTTTCATCTTACAGTCCTTGTGTTTCACACCAGGTAATAGGCCTTCCTGCTGTGTGCTCATGTATTTTTTTCTGTGTGTATCACATTAATAAATTACTTTCAGAACTTTGCAGAGCTAAATGTCTGTTCTGTTGTAGTAATACAAGCTGTTTTGACATGTAAAACCACTTGGAAGCAAGCTGAGCTTTTATAAGGGAAGAATTCTTAATGTGATTTAATGGTTTTTTTGAGATCTGAAGTATGTTTGAAATATAGCTCTCCAATGTCTTTGTATTATACAATAGACTTGAGTTGGAATGAAATAAAATGATGACTTGTCTTTATAATTTCAGTGGCCGAACTGGAAAAATTCGAGTGCAGTCCCTGAAAATTGGCTTGATGTCTCTTTCTAAAGGCCTTCTGGAAGAGAAGTACAGATGTAAGGAAGAATTTCTTTTACAAAATACTTTATGTAATTAAGTCATGTACAATGACAAAGCACCTAGCAAAATTTGTAGTAAAACATTTCTCATGCCTGGTGCAAGGTAGTTTTCTTTTGAATAAGTAAAAGAGAATTCTTTTCGTTATCACCAGTGACAATGGTTAAAGTGTGATTTATATGTTGACTGGAAAGTATTGTTGTCCATTCTGAATAGTCAGAAGTCACAGTACTGCAGTCCCCACAAGAAAAGAAGAATATAGCTTGGTGGAAGAGAGCTTGGTGGTATTATATTTGATTCTGTTCTCTCTTTTATGTGTATGTGTTTTGTTTAGAGAAAAAGCAAGTTAGTGCTGATTGCATCAGATTGATATGGCTGATAAAGCAAAGAAATACATCAAAATCCTGCCACTTTATTTAGTGGTCTATGAGAAAGACTATCTGAACTCTAAAAATGGTTTTCCAGTATATGTGCTTTCTGCCAGAATTGCACAATGAAAGTTTAAAATACGTTGATTTTAGTAATCTCATAAGCTTGAGAAATACTGAGTAATATAAAAATACTTCACAAAAATAAATGTAGGACCGGAAGAGAATTGAGTAACTTTGTGGAAAAAAAGCCCTGACAAATACAGAAAAGAAGATTAGGCACGATATAGAGCATTCTAGATGATGCGCATTTACATATTATGCACATAATCTTAAATTTGCTGTTCTTTACAGTAGTTTCTTGACTCATTTTGGAAACTCATGAAAAAAATTATAGAGAGTGAATTTGCTCCATGTATCTTTGGAGCTCTGCAAAAACATTTCTGCTTTCCTTAGGAGCATTTGTAAGCAATCTTGTAAGCTTAGTTATTAATATTGAACAAAAGTAGAGGTGTTTTATGCATTGGGACATATTTTGACATCTGAATGACATACTGAGACTTTGGGGTGTTTAGTTTCCTTCTGTCATTTGACATGTATGTGAAGTATATGTGAAGTATTCCATAATTAAAAAAGAGCTTGATGGACATACCTTTGCTCCACAATGACAATTCAGAAGATAATCTGCTGTTCTGTGTGAAATAAAAAGCTTTCATAAAGTGTAGGAGTTAGGCTGTGGGTGATAAACGGAGAACCCTAGGAAAATATGTCTTTAAAGAAACTCTGAAACCTGAGAATACTCCCATTAAATTGCTGTTGGTAATACTTTAGTATACAGTAGCCAAATACAGGGACTGAAGCAGAATAAGGAAATTACAAGGTCAGCTTCATATTTATGTTGTTTTGTGTTTAGTAACAAAATTAAAATGGCAGCTGATGGTGGCTACAGATTTTACATAATTTATGTCAACAAGATGGACTTTTACTCTAAAGGATGCTGTGAGAAGTCCTAAAAAATTAGTAGAGAATAAGTCTCAGAAAACTTTTGTACCTAGTGATTGTAACTTCAACCTGAAATACATCTGAAATCAAAGTAGTTGCTTGCATTCTTGAAGTACACAATTAATAGTTAGATAATGCATCCTTTTTGTTGTAACTTCAGCTCTGATCAATGTGCCAGGCTTTGATATCTTTGTTAGCTTTATTGTCCTTATGAACCTTAAAATTGTCACAGAACAGCCCTTCAATCCAAAAGAAATTTTGCTAACCAAAGAAGTGTGTCAGGTGCTGTTCTTTGTTTGCAGTGACTTTGAAGTCGGTGTTTTGGGGCCCTCTGGCACGAGCTGTTGCACACTCATCTTTGATATGAGCTCTTCTGGTTCTTTTGATTTTTGTCATACCCTATTAATCATCTCTGGTTGAGAGAAATTTTATCACATCTACTGAGTTTTCAGTCCTCCTTGAGTGAAAATTGTAATGGAATTCCTGAGTATTTTCAAGAAAGTCGGTCACTTGGAAAAAAACCAGGACCTTCAAGCATGGATGCTTTGCTAACCAAAGAAGTGTGTCAGGTGCTGTTCTTTGTTTGCAGTGACTTTGAAGTCGGTGTTTTGGGGCCCTCTGGCACGAGCTGTTGCACACTCATCTTTGATATGAGCTCTTCTGGTCTTTTGATTTTTGTCATACCCTATTAATCATCTCTGGTTGAGAGAAATTTTATCACATCTACTGAGTTTTCAGTCCTCCTTGAGTGAAAATTGTAATGGAATTCCTGAGTATTTTCAAGAAAGTCACTTGGAAAAAAAACAGGACCTTCAAGCATGGATGCTTAATACTAATTACCTGATTTTTTATTTTTCCCTTTCTTGAACCAACTCCTGGCATTTGCTTCTCCTTTTGACTGTTTCTTCTAAGAATTTCTGAGGCATTGGCAATCACAGGTTGCTCTGAGAGTGACAGCCATCGGATGGTTGTGGTTAGAGCCCTCAGCAGAGCACAGACTGTGCTAAAAATCCGCTAGCCTTGGGGAGGCAAACTCTTCTTAGAGTAGTTGGTGGTAAAATAAGCAAAATTTCTTGTTTTAAAAACTTTTGGCTGAACCCTTAATTATTTTGTAAAACTCTTGACCTGAATGTTTGCTGCTCAAGTGTTCAGCCTTCCTAGAGACTGTATGTTCATTTCCCGTATAGGTAGGATCTTTTAATTTGACACATTTTTAAAATATGTTTTGACACAGAAATTTTTGTGATTTTAAAAAAAATTTAATTAAGCTTCTTTTTAAGATTCTAGACTTTAAGGCTGATATGAGAATGGATCTTTAATCTTGTCTCTATTGACAAGAAGGGTCGCTTATGAGCAACAGAAGAATGCATTTGTGTGTACTTCACTCTGCACTTGTTTCTAAAACCCAAAACCCAAACTGGTTGCAGAAACAGAAAAAAGCCCATATGGAGTTTTTTTGGTTTTTTAGTGTAGCTTTTGGGTCATATAATTCAATGTGTAAAATCTTTATTATTTGAGATGAAAAAGAAGAGCTCCTTAATATATCTCACCTTCTAAGCAGTTCTGTTTTCAAGTGATGTGCAAGATCCTTGGAATTTGGTGGGGTGTTTTTTTTACTGTTATATTTATGTAGTAAATTTTCAAATCATTTGGAACTAACTTTAAAAAAAAAAAGAAAAACTTAGAATGTACATTCTGTTTGTGACAATGCAACATAAAATGTGCGTTGTGGACATCTTTCTACTAACTAGGCTATTATCCTTTTGATAGGAATTCAATAAACTTTTCAATATTTTCAAGTATCCCTTTATCAACCATTAAGTAAATTTTTTTCAGGTGTCCAGCTAAGTTACAGAATCCCCTGGCTGTAATCCTCAAAATACTAGTGTGAGGATGGATTTATTTAACTGATGTCTCTTCTCCTGGTTTCTGGTTTTTTTCATACAACTCAGATCCTGAATCATCTTATCTCTGCTTCCTCAGTCATTCTTGTACTTTGGTAGAGTTCCCTAAACAGTTTAACCTTCATATCAATGTATTTTGTGTTGAGACTCCTTTAGTGTGTATGTACATGTTAACAAATTTCATTTAAAAGAGGCTTTTGAGGCTTTTTGTGGCTTTTGAGATTGTTGATGTGTGATATATGGAGTCTCTTTCCCACTGGTGGTGAGTAGGGTGCCTGGGTGCTCCCTGTCAGAGCTAAAATAAGTTCTCCTCCATCTCCCACTTGAGAGATGTTGCCATGCCTCCTTTCCAAGGGAATGGGTACCCTCCATTGCTCATGGGTTATTTGGAGTAGGTAGGCCAGATAACAAGAGCATTCTCACTTTCCATGCCTTCAGTTTTGGAGTTTCTCCTCCTGTGTGCCACATTGAGGGGTTTGGGAAAAGAGGGTGCCATCCATGAACTCCTTGCACCTCTATGGTCTTTGTTTGTGGCACAGCTGCCAATGTTAAGAAACAAATTATTTGGAGGAGTTTGAGCTCTTCAGAGGTATTTGCTGTTTTCCTCCTAGCTAATCACTGTTCCCTCTCCTGTAGCATCGTTTTCCTCTATTTACCAGCTCCACAGTCAACTGTAGTGTTAGGGCTTAGGAAATTACTGCCTCCCAGCTCCAGCAACTAATGAATTATTCTTCTTTAATGGTCTGTTTTCACTGCAGACTGGTGCAAACAGAAAGAATAAGACAAATTTTTTCTTTTTTTAAAAAATATACTATCAACTGATAGTTTGATATACTATCAACTGATAGTTTTAAAACTAACTCTTAGAAATTGAAAAACTGTCCCATCCTCAGAGGAAGAATATAGCCAGGATCTGGGATTGCCAAGAGGAGCCTGCAGCTGGACAGTACTAATTCTGTCCCCTAATTCTGTCAGTCTTGGTTTGGTTTTTTTTGTCAACACTGAGTGGGCAAGATGCTGTAGCTGCTGTTTGACTAGGCAAGAAAGGGTGAGAAAAATACAATAAAATCCAAAAATTAGTTCAGTTGTCTGGATTTCTTTTTGGTGAAGATCCTTTCTTCTGCTTCCACCTCCTTTGAGAAGAAAAATCTGTGCCTAGACTGAAGCACACTGACAAAGCTTGCCAGTTGCTCCAAATGAAGGGCAAAACAATTTACACCATGTAATAAGAGTTATTCATGAGTGTTTCTGAACAAAGGTTGGCTTTTTCTTGATCAGAAGTGCAGTCAGACTGAATTTTCAAATTACATTTATTTCTAATTTATTGGTGGTTGTTCTGATGGGAAACATGAAAAAGTAAGGGCATAATATAGATGGATTCTTTTTCTTTTATGATTACTTGGGGCTTTAATCCAAGCCAGCCATTGAGTGCAAAAGGACATTGTAAAAACCGGCTGGAATGAACATAATAATTTTATTCTGCTTCTTCTGTAATTTGTACAAATCACAGAATTAAAAAATATTTCTTAGATAAACTCAGCATTTAAGATGTTTTCAGGAAAGATTAATCTCTTGACTGAATGCTAATGTACACAGCTACAGAGTTCATAAATCAAAATTGTTGGCAGAAACATTAACGTTTTTAGCTGAACATTTTAAAAATTAAAATTGTCCAATCAAAGAAACGTGCTAAGAAAGCACATGAGAAATAATAACTGTACTGCTGACAGGCCTATAACTCAGTGCTTTACTGTGAGTGTAGGTACAAACACTATCTTCCTTTCCAGTGCCTGTATCTGGAAAAATTTTCTTGATCCCTTTCAGCATCAATTTTTTCCATTGTTGCAGTCATCCTGGTTCATCCATTTATACTGCAGGGCTTGACACCTGCCTTAGGAAAATGGAATCAGTGAAGGAAAAGTACATGGAAGCAGACATGGCTATCCAGGAAGAAAATGTAATTATTGTTTAGCTCAGGTTGTCTTTCTGGCTGCTGTTCTTGCTTTAAGCTATTCCACATGGCCAGTTGTGACTTGTGATAACTTCCAGTCTCAGTTCAGAGTAATTGTGCTTCTGTCCCCAGCCAACTGAAGCATATCATAGTTTTTTAACACAAGATGTAGATATCTAAAATATTATTTCATTCTTCATGGGATCATAGAATAGTTTGGTTTGGAAGGTTATCTAGACCAACTGCCTTGCAATGAGCAGGGTCATCTTCAGCTGGATCAGATTGCTCAGAGCCATGTCTAATCTGTCTTTGAATGTTTCCAGCAATAGAACATCTACCACCTCTCTGGGCAACTTGTTCTACTGTTTTGCTACCCTCATTGTAAAAAATTTGATTTTTAATAACTAGTCTAAATCTACCTTTCTAGTTTTAAAACCATTACTACTTGTCCTATTACAACAGGCCCTGCTAAAAGCTGTGTTCCCAGCTTTCTTATAAGGCCCCTTTGAGTACCGAAAAGCCACAATAGGGTCTCCCTCGAGTCTTCAGATTTTAGAACCCTAACTCTCTCAGCCTTTCTTCACAGTGATGGAACATCTCTCCTATGATGAGTTATTTAGCCTTTTTCTGGATCTGCTCTAACAGCTCCATGTCTTTCCTGTGCTGGGGACCCTAGAGCTGGACTCTACATGGGGTCTCACAGGAGCAGAGTGTGCAGAATCACTCCCCTCAGTCTGCTGGCTGTACTTCTTCTGATGCAGCCCAGGATATGGTTGACTTTCTGGGCTGTCCAGCTTTTCATCTACCAGCACCCCCAAGTCTTCTCCACAGGGCTGCCCTCAGTCCCTTTGTCCCCCAGCCTGAACTGATACTGGGGTTGCCCTGACCCAGGGGCAGCACCTTGCACTTGGCCTTGTTGAACCCCATGAGGTTCCCAGGTTGTCCAGGTGTAGATGGCATCCCATTCTCCAGGTGTGTCAGCCACACCACTTGGCTTAGTGTCACTTGCAGACTTGCTGAGGGTGCACTTGATCCCTTCATCTGTTTTATTAATGAAAATATTAAATAACACTGGTCCCAGTACGGGCCCTTGAGAGACATCACTCATCATTGTTGTCCATTGGGACTCTGAGCTGTTGGCCACTATCCTGTTGTTGGCCACATCCAACCAATTCCTTATCCATCTCACAGTCCACCAATGGAACCCATCTCTCTTGAATTTGGAGACAAGGATGTTGTGGGGGACTGTGTCAAAAGCCATACAGAAATCTAGAGTGGTGACATCTATAGTCATGCTCCTGTCCAATAATGTAGTCACTCTATCATGGAAGGTCATTAGGTATGTCAGGCAGGAATATTTGCTGGTGAAGCTGTGCTTTCTCATATTATCTTCCTGTCCACTATGTGCCATAAGAAACCATATAGCTTCATTTATTTGACCTTATTTTTCTCACTTGAATGGTTATGAATCAAGATTAGATGAAGGTAAACTCTTGTAAATGGGACAGTGACGATTTGTAATAATGAAAATAATACAGAAATTAAAAGCTTGAGCTGCAGCATTAATGAATGAAAGGAGATGTACATGAAAATGGAATTAAATGGTGTCTTTTATTGATGTTGCAGACCTCTTCAAGGAGGTGGCAGGCCCTACAGAAATGTGTGACCAGAGGCAGCTGGGCCTTCTGCTTCACGATGCTATCCAGATCCCGCGACAGCTTGGGGAAGTGGCAGCCTTTGGTGGCAGCAACATTGAACCCAGTGTGCGCAGCTGCTTCCAACAGGTAAGATAAAGACCTTCATGTGAAGAACAAAATAAAACCAAACTCTCTTAAGTTTACAGACTCACTTTTACGTGCTGATGTAAAAAGAAGAGAGGAGTATAAAAACATCTGCTGTGTTTTGAACAGAAATGAATATGCTCTTGCAAATAAGTATGGGAAATTAATGTGAAAATGCAGCTGGGAAAGATGGTTTATGGTTTAGGAGAGAATCAAACAGATTTTGTTTAGCCAGAAGAATACATAAATCTTAATGATTCTGACAGTGTTTGCAGCTCTAAAAGCTGTTGAAAAAATTTGTAGCAGCCAGTTGTCCTGCTTTGCATTGTTCAAAGCAACCTGATGCTGTGAGAACAATATGCTTTTTCCAGCTGAAATAAGGCATGATCTCAACAGAACAAGAAAATTATGTTGATAGTAACTTCTGACCTTGTGCATGAGGAAATTATTTAGTACTATGTTACTGACAAAAGACCTTGCAATTGCATGAAACTTCAAGCATAGTCTTTTTTATATTGCAAGCCTTTATGCAGCCGATCAGAACATGGAATAAAGCTCTTGCAGCCTGCTGTGAAGCTCCACACTACATGCAGGGGGTTAATGAGGCTGCAAGGAGTGTCTGTCTGTTTAAAGAAGATGAGAATTAAAAACAGAATGTTGTAATGGAACACAACTAACTCTGACTTTTTCAAGGATGCCTAAGGCTCCAAATGTTTGCTAGTGATAGCCATAATGCTTCAGTGCCTTATTTATGTGAAAGTAGCTGATTTGAGCATTGTCAGAAATTATATATGGATTAAAAATACACCATGGCTTATATAAAATTACTGACTTGACATTTCTGATTTTATTGAATAGAACATGGACAAACATTAAAGATTTTAGTGAACTTTCAGAGGATTTTCTTTTGCCATTCTTTCACAGATATTTCTACATTTTTGTCCAATTCTTTGAAAAACACAGTTGTGTTGGCTTTTTTCCAGAACTATCAGATTCATGTCTGGATTCGGGCAATGAGGATGGAAGAGTGTTTGTCCAGGTCATGAATAGTTTTATAGATACTTATGGAAGTTAGTTTGACCAATTAACCATGTAAAGTTTCCCCTGGTGTTTTAACATTGCTGCTTCAGACAGTAAGGGGTGGTGCTTGACTTATCTATCACTGGCTTTGAGTGGTTTGAGTCATACTGAAATATATTTTTCATTTATTATTCACAGACTTTCTGTATGACAGAAGAATGACCTTTATGTCCCTCAAGGATCTACCCCATCTCCCATGCTATTCAATGATGGGTGGGGGGTACCAGCAAGACAGTGTTTAAATACTTGATGTATTATTACAATTATAGTGATAATGAGGTTGCAATCCCTCATCTCACAGGAGTAGTTCAAGTTCAGTCCCTGGTTAGGAGAACATAGAGAAAATGTGCAGCTGCATGTCAGTTATCTCAGCCCAGTGAAAACAAGTATTTTGTTGTGAGGAAAAAACTTGGACCATGAATAGGTTAAGAAGCTTTCCATCTTGTGTTACCATTTAAGAATAACTTTCATTTAAAGCTTTATTTTATTGCTTCAGAGCAATATTGAGCTCAGAAATATTGAGCTCTTTTGTTATTGCTGACAAAGTTGATGAATACAATACCTTTGTAGCTAGGCTCCTCTGGTGGTTATAACTTAAAGGAAAAATGGAAGTGGGTTTGCTTGCTTCTTAAAACAATCATGTTAATACATCAGCTCTGATATATTCTTGCTGTGACTGGCTATAAATGGCAGATTCCTTTCTTGTTCTTTGCCTGTTTGTTTTATTGTGTGTGTGTGTTATGTTTAATGTGCTAACTAGAAAGAACACTGTGGGCTTAGAACACAATAAAAAATTGATGAGTCTTGGGGCAATCAGTATACACATGCAAACACTACTGACTTACAGCAATTTGTCATCAATCGTAACTCAGAAGATAACCATGTCTTCAGTATGTCTGAACTGCAGAGTATGCTCACTTACTTTTCAAGTCCTTTCAGTTGAAAGACAGCTTTGCTTTACAGTCTGTTACTTCTCTACTATGTCCTCCATCTTTCTTACCATCTGTCCACTCTATCACAGCTGTTTAGTCTTCTAAAGTCTTACTGACTTAACTTGTTTTCTTGATTTTCATTTTATTTCTTATAGCCTGTAAATGGTTTTGGATTAAACTGTCATGGAAATAATCAGGTTGTTGGGGTCTTTTTTCCATAGAATTCTAAGGAAAATCTGCTTATGGGTGTCTGATGTTTTGTTTTGTGTTGGGGTCTTTTTTCCATAGAATTCTACGGAAAATCTGCTTATGGGTGTCTGTTGTTTTGTTTTGTTGTTGTTTTTTTGTTTTTTTGTTGTTTTTTTTTAATTTGGATGTGGGTTTTTTCTCTCCACAGAACAACAATAAGCCAGAAATAACTGTAAAGCAATTCATAGATTGGATGCGCTTAGAACCACAGTCTATGGTGTGGTTGCCAGTTCTACACCGTGTGGCAGCTGCAGAAACAGCAAAACATCAGGCCAAGTGCAACATCTGTAAGGAGTGTCCAATTGTTGGATTTAGGTAAGAGGAGAGGTGTTAGGTGCAATGTTTCTCTGAAAATATCCACATTTTTGAGACTTCCAACAAATGAAGTTTTTCCTGTCTGGTTTTCCACTGTTCTCGTTCTTTAAGATGGGTTCTGTCACCCATGGTGAGGCCACAGTGTGGCCTGAGACAGTGCAGTTGTGGCTCATGCAGTGCCATGGTTAAGATACTCAGTGGTCCTGTGGCTGACAGAGGCACAGGGTGGCCTCTGTCATCATCAGATGGTTTTGGATTTGGTGGATCCAAGAGATAGCAAATGAAGTATAAATGCACCCCATGTGTTCTGTAAGCACAAGGTCAAAAGGAGGTGATCAGTAAGAAAAAACATGGACTGTCTGTCTGCTCTCGTGCATAAGGCTTGGTAAACTAACTTATGCCAGGCAGTATAAAACGTCCTTCAACATCAATCTTTCCTTCCTTAAATACTGATACGTTGCTGTGATGAGACTTGTAAAGTCCCTGTCTATGTCCCTACAGGGTATGAATTCTACAAGAAAATGTTACATGGGGAATATTCTCCATGTTAATCTCCTAAACTGTAGTTGGTACCCTTAGTAAGTATTGCTATGGCTAACATGCATTTGTAAATTGATTGCTCCAGTGTATAAAGCGATGCAATCCCTATCCCCAGAATCTGCAGTAGAGGCTAGAGGTAAGCATAACTGGCTTTTTCCTCTACTGTGGTCATGGAGTCTAATGTATTATCTAGGAAAAATATAAAGCAGTCTGTAATGTAAGTGCTTCAAAGATTTTTCTTCAGGTATCTGGGCAGATGAGGAATTTTTGTTCATTGTGGTTCCTGTTCTCCATCTTTCTGTTATTTTAGAGGATAATAATATGAATCCTGAAGTCAGATTCATCTTGCCTAGTTTCAGGAAAGCTGGCTTTAGTCAATCTTACGGGAATGAGCTAGCAACCCTCTTTTTCATTTTTTATTATAACTATAGGTATGTGAGTATTTGCAAAAGTAATAATCTGATCAAACTTTGTTGCCTGTTTTAAGAGGCAATGAAATTTTATAAGTGTTCCTGTCTTTGTTATTGTTTGAGGAAGCATAGGGTGACAAAGCTCTGGCTCAGCTGTTACAGTTGTCTAAGTTGTACTATGTGTAGGAGGGCAGAGAGACAGAAAAGAAGACAAAGACCCATTTAGAATGGGTCATTTTAAATAATTTCTACAATTGATCAAACTTTGTTGCCTGTCTTAAGAGGCAATGAAATTTTATAAGTGTTCCTGTCTTTGTTATTGTTTGAGGAAGCATAGGGTGACAAAGCTCTGGCTCAGCTGTTACAGTTGTCTAAGTTGTACTATGTGTAGGAGGGCAGAGAGACAGAAAAGAAGACAAAGACTGGGTCATTTTAAATGATTTCTACAAGGAAGCTAGAGATCTGCAACAACAAAAGCATCTAGCATCTTAGCAGAAGGTAAATGTAGCCATTTAATGCACTGGCTCTGAGAAAAGATTATAAACAAGTTGGATCAGCATCTTTTAAAGTGAACTTTTACATTTATAGACATATTCTCTTGCAAAACAAAACATAAAACTCAACAGGGGAAAAATGTGGATGGGTACTGAAAACTACTCTCAGGAAGCAATTTAATTTAAACTTTAACTATTCAGTAGCTATTCAATTTGGTTCAGTTAGCTCATTTTAGTTTCATACAAATGATATAACCTCATCCAGTCAGAAAATCATAGCATGGAAACAGTGGGTGCAATCTGGAACCGAACTGTTGATTTAGTCTAAATAAATAAATAAATCATGTTCCTGGTGATTACATTTAGTACAAGGGGTACTGTAGAAGTTTGTTAGCCTATTTATACATACACTCTCTTAAAAGTCAACTAAAAGTAAACAAATCATTGTATATTTTTAACTGAATTTTAAATTATTCTTACAATTCATGAATTCTGGAGAATTAAATTTTCTGAAATGTGTGTCGAGTTTCTGAGCATCAAAATTATTTACAAACTTTTAATTTAACTTTTGAGTATAAAAACTGAAATAAACCAGTCTGCTTTATATAAGTTTTTCTGAGATAACACATGAATAGTAAACAGAGGAAAAGAAAAACTAAGCAATGTAGTTTAAAGTCAGTAAAAATTTTAAAATTCTAAATTCTTCCCAGTCCACGAATGAAGCTGATGCTTGTAGGGCTTTCAGTATCAAAGCTGCTTGGGCAGCAGTTGATTGACAATGGCTCTCTATATTGATATGGAGACAGAAACTTTTAAATACTCAGTGAGGTGTGTAGTGTAGGAAGGTTCTGTGGACTAAGAGGGCTGCAGGTTTCCTGTGTCCCCTGCAGCTGCTGCAGTGGCACTGCTGTCCCTGGGCCTGCGGCCATGGTGAGTGTTGACCGTGCCACGTTCTGGTTGTGCACACTCACGCACTTCAAAGTTCTCTCTCAGCTAATCCCAGCCAACTCACTGTGTCCTTGTGTTGCTGCTGCTGAAAAGCAGATGACCCATTTCAGAAAGTAATTTGCTTCGTGAGGCTTAATTAGAAGTAAACCTCTAATCACTTTGTTTAATGTCCCCACAGGTACCGGAGCTTAAAACATTTCAACTATGATGTCTGTCAGAGCTGTTTCTTTTCTGGCCGCACAGCAAAGGGCCATAAATTGCATTATCCAATGGTGGAGTATTGTATACCTGTGAGTACCACTTTGCTCAGTGTTTCTAATGGATAACAACCCAGAATTGAGGTCTAAATATTTTTTCATAATCTTTGTTGCCTAGCTAGGATTTCTTTCTTGTATGTTTACTATGGCTTGTCTTCCTACTTTCCTCTTTGGAAGGCATCAGAAAATTTTCAGGTTTTGCTGATTTTATGTAGGGAGTGTTTGGATCCTATAGAAATGGGCAGCAGTATCCACCTCTGAGAGAGCTTAAACCTCACTTCTGATTGGTAAAACAAAGCTTGAATATTAAATGCAACTGCTGTTTTTCTATACTAACATACATACATACGTGATAAGGGTAAGAACATGCCAGAGAAAAAGGACTTGCTTAACTGTTGCTGTACCAATGGCAAAGATTATTTCATATTCTAGTAATGCACATTAATATTTTATGGGGTTGTTTTTGGGTCCAGCGTTTCCTTGCTTCATGAAAATGTGGCTAGAAATAGATTTTGTTTCATTCTGTTGTGTAATTGCTATTTACTGGGATATACAAAAGTCAATGTGCAGCTGGAAAAAAAAAAAACACAAACCGAAATTGATAATTTGTAACCAGAAGTGGTGTGAGATGTTTATCAGCAGTACCTGACAAAAATTAATTTTATAACACTAATGTAACACTATTTTGCTAATGATGTTTCAAACAAAATTTTTTAAGGAGATTCCTAGGAGTCTTTCTTAACTGAATGAGTGCCTGGGCTGCTACATGCAAGTACCACTCACACTTTTTTTATCAGATAGCTGTTTACAGTCAAGAATTTTACCTTAGAAATGAATTAATCGGCTAATTCATATATGCTCTGCACAACAGTGGTGAAAGTTCTGCATGCTTGGAAAAATTCAGACCAGAATGTAACTGGAGCTGATTCAGCAGAGCAAATTTTCAATAGTGTTACAAATTCTTTGGGTTCTTCTAGTAGCAAAAATTCATTGAGTTGTTTGACTTTCTTGCTGTAGTTGTTGGACTTACTACCTGTGTTTTCCCTCTCTTTTTTTGTCTGGCGTGTCTTCTGTAATGAAATTCAAATTCTTTAATGTAGTGGTTTTACTTCGTTATGGTCAGAAAAAAATGAGTGATGTCAGTGTATTTTCATTAATTCTATAACTAAATATTAATATTTTATTGATAAATCCACATGTCAGGGAATACGATGAAGAACATTTTTTAAATAGATTTGTTGTTTTTTCAGCTGGTTTTAATGTTTATTATATTTTATTACATGACTATTCTAACCTCAGGATTTGGAGGTCTATGATTAGACATAAAAATTCACTTTTTTTTTCTTTATAAACCTCATCTTTAGTGGAACAGAAATATTCTTTTTTTATTGCCTATAATATGCAGGAAATTCAGAAATTGAGGTGTAAGGAGTATTGAAACAGATAATACTGCTTGTCTGCAGGATAAGATATCCTTCCTGTTGAGTTAGTCAAATACAAATTACATCTGGTATGGGGTATTTTACTTTCCCTAGAACATGATGGTGTATTTCTGATGAATTTCAGGTTTTGTCTGAAGCAGCAGATTTGATATCTAAGATGAATTTTCAACTCTTGTTAAACAAGTTCACATTGTGTAACTGTGAGCCATCTCATTTACAAGTGAAGGCTGACAAACTGAAAAATATATTCTGGACATGGCTGGAATCCTGTCTCTCCCTGGAAATAGGGATGGCTTACATTATAATGAAAATTTCTGTTACTGCTGCAGAAAAAAATGTGGTTTTAAAGTAATATTAGGTGTAAAATAAGGTAACGTAAGGCAAAAGTCCCTTCTTTCCATGAAATACAGGAGGAAGGAGGTGACTCCACTATGGAATAATAAGGGGAGTAAAATGACATTCTTGATTAGAGTGAAGGAAGGAAGGCCAGTATAAAAAGGGGGAAAGGAAGGAACTTGGGGAAGTTTTAAGTAGAGCAGAAGAAAAGAAATTACATATAATTCAGGTGATGCATAAAATTAGAGGTCCAGCAGTGACCCTCGTTAACTTGGAAGTGGAATATGAGAGCTGGAATTTTATTTGGGTCCTGATGTAAGTGCACTCTGCTACCTCCATTTCTGTAAAAAGAAATGACCCATTATATGAACAGACCTAGATGCCTGTTAGACTTCCACAATCAGTACCCACATGCAAACTATTTTAACTAGCCTTATCCGGTCTAGGTCTGGAATACAGAAATGATTGCATGAAAAGAATCCTGTATTATTTATTCTTACTATTTGTAACAATGCGCTGTGGTTGGTATACTAATTTGTTGCTAAGCCTCTCTACATATTGAACATAGTCAAGAACTGCAAAATTTTTTGCAGTTAGTAGAATAGCTTATATGTTTAAATGGAATAATGCCTGAAAAATAGCATAGACCTGGGTCTGTGAAATAAAAGCACCAAAGGCCACTGAATTGTTCTTTAGAATCCATTATATTACAGTACAAATAGCTTGAACGGGAAGGGTGCATACGCTCTGCCTTTTCAACTAAATTCAAAGGCTGTTGATGTTAAAATGTTGCTTTCTTGGCCAGTGTTGAAAACCAGAGTACAAATGCGTGTACTCCTCAAACTGCATTAATAAAATCTGGCTTCACTTGCTTACTGCTAATGCATATTAATATATTTTTATCAAGAATACTAGCAATAAATAGGTAAAAAAAAAAATGCTTCCATTACTTAAGCTGACATTTAGAACTGGAGCTTAGTCACAGATGGATGGAAGACCATTTAATTGTCTTCAGGTGAATGGTTCAGTGTAGGCTATAAAGGGATTTCTCAGAAGCACAGTAAGTTCTTATCAAATTTAAAATAATTTGGAGAATGGGTTAAGGAATATGTTCTCTATTGTAATGACTTTTTTGGTATTTGCTTTAGCTAAGAATTGCTTCATAATTTCAGATTAGGACCATTTACTCCTCAGAGTTGTATGTAGCTACCACATTCTGATCTGTAATGCCATTTTGTATTTGCCCTAGCTTGCAATTTAGTTTTCTTGATGCTGTGGGAAAGAAAATCCTTATAATAACTTCAGTAATGTTTTTTCTTTTCTTTCATCCAGGATTTAGAGATAGGTGAGGGAAGCATCTGAAAACATAATTCTCTCTTAAGTAGTAAAAATGCAAAGTTATTCTAGTTTATTTTTCACCTTTACATAATCTTTGTCTGAAAAGATGTAGAATTTTACATGGACATGTAAAAATATTCTTAGATTTTTCCCAGCATCTAGTTTGGGAGTAGTCCTACATAACTACCTACACAGTTTATTTTTAGATTATTTTGAATTGGAAATCCTCTCAGTAGTGGCACTTGTGTTATATTAATGTGGCTGGGCTTAATGACAGCATACATTAGGGAGGTTCAGATCTCTTCTGGGAATCAGTTTCTCTGTGTGTATTAAAACAGCTAATTGGTTTTGTGTTAGCTATAATAAATGTAATTAAGAGAATGGTGACTTAGGTGTAGTCTAGTCCTTTAACATAGCTAGATGCAGTGAAAGGAATAAGAATGTGGGCTTCCATTTGAAAAAGAGACTATTGTGAAATAAATACAATTAAATAGATATGTATTATAAATATTCTATATTATTTATTCATGTTTCACATATTTATTGTATTTTTATATTATATGGTATGTAATTCAGAGCTCTACAATTAGTTTATTACCATCTTGGTATTACTTTTTTACCAATGAATATTTGTTATATTTCCAGTATACTGAAAGAGTACACCAATTGGGTTTTTAAGATATGTATGGAAAAGATATTTCTCCATGCTCATTTTTTTTCCCACTTCTTTCCTGGTTTCTTAAATATTTATTGGATTACAAGTAATTATATCTTAGTTTGTTGCTTATAACTCTCTTTGTGCCTGGCTGGTGTATTGAAGAGTGCTGATGCCAGTTTGTCAATTGTTACAATGGCTTTTTAGTTGTGTATGGCAGCCACGGATATTAAATGTTTCTTCCTCAACTTTGTCTTGCTCTAAGAACGGAGATTTTAAATTCAGTTTGAAGGCATGGTCTTTGGACTGAATTTTCAGTGAAGGAAAGTATTTTTTCTTTGCTTTTAAAGTAGTTCTGTAGCAATGGTACTACTTGTACTATTGATTTGTGTGGAAATAGCCAAGATATCATGATGTAAACAAGTGCACAAGGTACCTGCTAGTTTTAATTTAGAAAATAGATTCTACACAACAGTTCCTGGCTATTTTTTAAAGGAAAACATTATAGTACATCTTCCTTGGCACAATTTTGGATTGTATTGTATTTTGTGGTTATGTGCCCAAAAAAAAAAAAAAAAGACGTTTTTCAGATTTGCACCTTAATTGTATATAAATTAAAATAGTTCTTTCAAATCTGCTCAAATGTCACTGGTTACTATTTGCAGTGCTCCATCAGTACACAGTCATATTAGTCCTCTTTCTGAGAATCAGGTTGTCATACCAAATAAAGAATACACCAGAGGAAAAATTTTGGCAGCTCAGTAGACATTTATTTCTACCATGTGTAGGTATTAAAATTTTCATTCCTTGGCCTTGGGGCAGAGTTCCATCTGTTGGAGTTACTGTTGCATGAGAGGAAGCAGCCCTTTGCATGGCCTCGTGTTCCTTCTTTGGGTGGTGCAGTGGTTGGAGAGATGCTTTTTGAGAATGATTTTGTGAACACTCCCTGGACTCACTTTTATTAAAATTCAGCAGTTCAAACAGCCTTTAGTCACAAATTTACTCTGTTGTCTATGTTTTAAAGCCACGTATGAGAAGCTCCTACCAACACCGGTTTGTTTTACTATTTTTATTGCTCATCTGAAATGCATTACAGAGCCTGTTACTGCATATATTATACATACGTTAAAATATATAGATGAATACGGAAATATTTTTAGGTTTTGACAGCAGAGAATAGTTTCCCTGACCTGCCTCCAGGCCTCTTGGTAGTACTTTGGGGAAAAGATGACAAAACTGAAGTCTTCCTGTCTATTTTCTGCATGGTTGTCTATCAGCTTTGGCATTCTTTGATGCTGACAGGCTTCTCCCAAAGCAGGTACAGGAATACAATTCGTAGTTTGTTACAGAGGCTGAACTGGAAGTTTCTAAAAGCTGTTGCAAATCTTCAGGTAATTCTGGAGTTGAATGGCCATGTTTTCTTTACTGCAGTTGCAAGAGAAAATGCTCAATAGTACCGGCTGGAAGGGGTTGTTCTGTTGAAATACTCAGCCCAGTCTGAGCACATACACTTTCAAGGCAGACTGCATGCTATTGTTTCTTCCTGCAGATCTCTTTGTTGCCATTTTTGCCTTGTATTTTATGCCTGTATGTATCCCTGCTTTTGTAGCAGAAGTTAGCTGAATAGTATTACCAAAGTAGTGCTGCCATTATTGCTGTGATTATCACCAGTTAAAGGGATTTTTAAAAGCAATTGAATAAATTTTAATTTTGTTCTCAGGATAGGGTGATGGGTCGGGAGGGAGCAGAGAGGAATGGGGCTAAGCACTTAACAGTTTTGATAGAGGCTACATCAGTCAGGACCAGTAAAAAAGCTGCTGGGAGGGAAGGAAGATGTTGATTGTAACTTGTAAACTTAAACTTGTAGAATATTGTGGGTAATCCATGTCCTAATCTTGCTCTGTGGTAATAAGGAGACCACTGAATCGGTCTGTTACTTCAGGCACTAATTGTTCTTATCAGGCCTGCCTGTGCTTTTGAGCAGTGCCTGTACACTGGCCACCACTTCATCTGTGCATTTTTTTGACTCCAGAATATTGCAGGTAGTGGCAGAATCCTATAGGAAGAGATTTGGTAACTGGAGAAAATGCTTATGAAAATCTTGGCTATTGCAGCAGAGAATGGTGTAGGACATACCATTCCCATCCTGTGGTAAAGTTTTCCATTGTAGGTCTAGAATGGGAGGCAGTGGGGGCTATATCTTACCAATTGATTTTTTCCCTTTTAAATTTTTTCTCAAAAATTAATTTTTTGTTGTTCTTAAGACTGGATATAAATATTTAGCTTAAGACTTGAACCTGTGTCAAAATTTCTCTAATTTATAAAGTAATTGGTAATTCTATCTATTGCTGGGAATTTGAAGCCTTGCTATTATTTTCCAGTAGAAGACAATTTTTAGGTGCATTACTATTATTATTGTACTGTATCTCAGGACACTAAAAAGGCAATTTTAGCATAACTGAAATTTTAAAGTTCTTCTTTGTATGTGTTCTTTTTCAGGACAGCACCAGCAGTATTAATCAATAATATTGACATTATTGACATTAAATCAGTACTATTTAGCAATGTTGAATTTATTTTTTTTTTTAGACAACATCTGGAGAAGATGTACGGGACTTCACAAAGGTGCTGAAGAATAAATTCCGGTCAAAGAAGTATTTTGCAAAGCATCCCCGACTTGGCTACTTGCCTGTGCAGACAGTATTGGAGGGTGACAACCTGGAGACGTAAGCTTGTTTTATAGAGCAGTGGCTCCTTGAGTCACTGACCTGTTCCATCAGAAGCAAAAAGCTGAAACTCAAAAGATAGCCAATAACAATTGCAGAGCCTTGTGCTATATTATTCTGTATTGTTTCATATTATTTGCAGATCTTCCTTATTATTTCCAAACATATTTTATGCTTAGATTTTTATCAGCATTGTATTATAAAGCCATGGACTTTACAATGTCCATGGCTTTTGGCTTTATAATACAATGGCTTTACAATTTACAATGGTAATGGACAAAGCAGGTGATTTTGGTGGGGGCTGAATAGCTGTTTTACAGAGAATACTTTTGAGGAGTCCAGGTTTTTAGAACTGCACTGCTTGTTTGAATATGTCAAAATTCCTGGAATTAGAAATTTCTGAGTTAATTAGGGTCCTACAGGCTTCAGAAATATTAGTGGCCTAATCAGAGAGAGCACTCTCAGTGTCTCCATGGTATCATTTATGGCGCTGACAGAAGTGCTCCAGTTTATTTACTCACTTGGCAGTTGTCAGCAAAAGACACTTTTACAAGAGCAAAAATTAAGATGTGTTGACAGGGTGCTAGAATTAGTTTCGTGGCTTGACTGTCCCTCACATCCTGGAGTCTGTGGCACTGCTGCACTGCCTGAACACAGCACCACTAAGCAACAGCCCATGCGAAGGTTCAGCAGAGATGTTCTGCATTCATGCAGCAGCTCAGGGCCAGTGCCCAGGGTCTGAGGGCTTTCATGACTGTAGGGCTGTGCCTTTCATTTGCAATACGTAAACAAAACCTTCTCATTAGCAGTTTTAGAGACAGGAGGAAGTAATCTGAAAACTGTCTGATTGATAGCCTCGCTTCTAAGGAAGCAATGCACATTCAAATGTTACCTACCAGGGCAGTCTTCAGCTGCCACCAGCACAGGAAAGCAAAGCTGCTTTAATGTGGTGAAAGTTTGCCAATGCTGCCAGAAATTGGAATGATAAAACTATAATCACAGGTCAGGATAAAATTCTGTCGGTCCAGTCGTGTGGGAAATATACAGATAAATTGTCGGTACCCTGCTGAGAGAACTCTTGGTATTGGTTCTCTGCCCTGCAGGTGGCAAAACTCAGTAATACATTCCTTCTAATAAAAAAAGAAAAAAAAATCTCTTATAGTTATTCAAGTGTGAGAATGTAGTACAATATGTGTTTACTTCATTATTTTTATGTGCAAGGAAAAGGAGCATTGATAACTCTGACTTATGAGGGAGGTTTATTGGTGGGGTTTGTGTACCCCGCTTTTTTTAATACATTTTGTTGTTTAAAATGAAAGTTCCAGTACTTGAGCAAAATTTAAATGAATTGATTATGGTTTATGAAGTGCAGTTCAATCAACAACACTGATTTGGATTTTTCTTTAAATTGATTTTTATGTAACAAAATTAAGTATGTAGGTCAGTCTTCTGTCTCTCCATGACAAGTGGCAGTATTTGTTGCTGTCTCTCTTCTACATCAATTGTTACTTGTTCAGGGTGGGTTGCTGTTTAAACTATTTTGTGTTTCTCCAGCTTTCTCTTGCTTAAATGTTACTAAAGTTTTTGTGTCATAGTTTCATTCTTTCACTCTCTCTTTTCTTTTTTTATTTTGTGTCTTCCTTACAGTCCTATCACTCTCATCAGTATGTGGCCAGAGCAATATGAGTGAGTATGCAGAACCCCTTTATCTGCAAAGTTTCATTTGTCACTTGTTTTCTTTTGGCTCAGTTGCAGCTAATCTGATGTCCCTGAATTATAGGGCACAGCTGACCCAAAGCAATAATGCCCTCAGGAATATAGTGCATGTATTTAATTGTCATCAGTCTAACTTGATTTAAAAATAATGTTGTCTATATAATGAATTGCTTTAGACACCACTAATTTTTTTATTATTATTTTTAAACTAGTCCTTCCCAGTCTCCACAGCTGTTTCATGATGACACACACTCCAGGATAGAACAGTATGCTACTAGGTAAGAGAGACATGGTTTCTCACTACTCTGTTGCATTTTGTGGTTGATTCCTGCAGTTTTAAATACACACTACTGGTTGGATATTATTTTTTAAAAAGATATCTTTCTCTGTACTTAGAAGTGAGTCGAATGTTCTTAAATCATTAGGTTCTTATTATGATAATATTAAATGTAAAATACATGTGTTAAATCTATCATCTCTCATACAGAATGGAAGCTATTGCAAAATTGCATCATTTCTAAAATGTGCCATTAATGGTTTCTTTTTTTCATTTTTAACCTTTGAAATAAACGGAATTTGTTCTATATACAACTTTTCCCAGTAGGATATTAGATCCAGGGTTCTGTTTTCTTCTGTAATAGGCTCGTGCTCTGCATTACTGTTGGCTTTTAGCAGAATAGGTTCTAATTACAGATGTTGTGGCTTTTGTGGAGTCACCCTAGTCCTCTTGTGTTAAAATGTCTGTTTTGCTAAGTCCATCTCAATGTCTCTGTGTTTTGTTAACTCTCTTCTGTACATTCAGAGCTGGTGATCTGAATGTACAGAAGAGCATCATTAAGGCAGGAAAAGACCTCTAAAATCATCAAGCCCAGCCATTAATTCAGCATGACGGTGTTCAGCACTAAGTCATGTCCCCATGTGTCCTTTGAACACTTCCAAGGAAGGTGGTTCCAACTCTTCCTTGGGCAGCCTATTCCAACACCAGACCTGCTTTTCACAGAAGAACCTTTTTGTAATATCTAGCCTAAACCTCCCCTGGCACCACTCGAGGCCATTGCCTCTCATGTGGAGTTAAGGGAATGATGATGGCGTTAATGTTTCCCCAGAGGCACCCACTCAAAAATAAGTACCATGGGAACTGACTCGGTTTTTCTTTGGGTGGTTTTCTTCTTGTATCTGATCTTCACAACTGAAAAACAATTCTAACTTTTTCACTTCTTTGAATAAAAATTCAGAGTGCATGTTTAAATTAATAGCAGTCTTATTTATGGGCACCTTAAAATTCTTCAGACCAGTTTCTTTAAATGCCCAAGATATGCTGCACTTGATCTTTGCAGCAAGAGAAAATAGGGCAGGAAATAAGGCTGAAGGGCTACCCACAGTCAGCCTATTTTTTTTGTCCCCCAACAGCAAGTATTTTCATGCTTCATTAGTAGTATAGCACAATGACATACAAAGTCATTACACTGCTTTTCAGTTATTTGAAACATGCCATTCATATTAATCACCCAACATTTCTTTGAATCTATAACTTAGGCCATGTTGTAATCAATTAAAACCCCTGAACCAGACAAATTTCTCTAGAGAGATGAAAGAATTTTCAGTCTATCTGTGTCTTTTCAGCCTGTGGTGTCACAATACTGCAGCTTTTTGTGCCCAGGTAAAGCTCAAAATCTGGACTCTCATTAAGGATCAGTAGAGATCTTGGGTGCAATAGCTGTTTTCCCTCTCCTCCCCCTCACCTCTTACCAGTTCTGCTTAGGGTGAGATTAGCTGAAGGTGGACTGCTCAGTTCTGAATTATCATTCAGAATACAAACCTGTTATGTGCCGACATTGCTTACCAAAATGGAAAACTTGCTACTAATTGCCTCATAGGTAATCTGTTAAAACTACTCAGGATTATTTTTCTTCTAGTAATAAAATCTAGAAAAAAATACATAATTCAGTGTCTTTCATATAATTTTTATTGTGTCCTTTCTAGTTGAATCTGTTATGTATATATGGCATTTAAAATAGTAAATCTTTTTTATTGTCCTGGTCTTTTCAGCTAAGCATCTTTAAAGAAATATTATCAGGGCTTCAGTGCCCAGCAGAAACAGTATATTAGGGCTTAAAGCCTTCACTGTCACTGGTTGGAGAACATTCAACTCCCACTTTTCTGTTTACAAAAATCCCCTGCCTGGAATCAGATACCGTCTCCCTGTTCTGTTGAACAGGGAGAAATTCCCTCTGAGTTGCTTCTAATTTCCTTCCTCAGCTTTCAGTTTTCATCCTACCTTAAATGCTTTTTGCCACTCTGGGGTCCCTTCCCTGTCTCTCTGTGTTCCCTGATTAGGGCCTTCTGCTGGTTCCATATAGTATCCCAAGCAAATCCTCATTAATGATGGAGATCCTAAATGTGACGATAACTGTGTAATCTGCACTTGTGAGTTGGGATATCTGTCAATCACTAAGGGATTCAGGGCAGGCCCTTCTCTCTTAAAAGTAATGGGGGTTGTACTGCTTCCCTATGTGACAAAGGGACTGTGAAGATTAATTTCAAAAATTATGTTTCATCAAAAGCTTTAAAGATGCTGAGCATAGCAGCTTTATAAAGGTGACTTGTAAGCATGTTGCTCACTGTGAACCAGATTTGTTTGAGATGTCCTACAGCAGAATGATCTGATTTGTCCTGAGTCACTTCAGAGATTCTCTTCCCTTCAGGGAAGATGTTGGAGCACAATGTCCCACCCCAGCCAAGATGAAATAGACAATCAAGTTGACATCCAGTGTGTGCCTTCATTTATTCTTCTTCTTTGACCGCAGGAATAGTAACAAATGTAGAGAAGGGAAAACTTGCTCCATTCTAAAAGAAGTTACCAGAGTTCCCTGTTCTTTAGGGCCTTGCACACTCCCTTCAAAAGGAAGTTTGAAGATGTCTATAGTAATGCATAGTGCACTTGAAAAATTATATGTGAAATTAAGATGTCTTTATAGTAAAGGAAATAGCCTTATTTGGTGCAGTTGAATATATGTGTAGAGCATTAAGTGTTCCAAAATTTTTATGTACATCTCTTATGTACATAAGGTATGTATTTCTTGGAAACCTGAATAGATAGAAAATTTCTGCTTTGATTTTAAAGAACTGTGTGACCTTGTATACCATCTGATAATCTGGTCTTTTTAGATTAATTGCTTCCAAAATGTGGAACTGTAGGCAATGATTCCCTATAATTATACTGCTTTTTGTGGTTTTTTATAGGACTTGTCTGTCCACAGTGTGGTATTATTTGCTGAGCATCATTTCAGATGTTGGATGTGCTATATTTAAAAAGAATTCATCCTCTTTTGTTAGTCCAGCTTTAGAAAATTCAAAAAGAAAACCATCTGTGAAAACATCTCTTTAACTAATTTTGCCATGCGAGTTGTGGTGATGCTAATGATAATTATGATAGAGGGAGAAAATACACTTTTTTGTTGTTGTTTGGCAAGTAGAATTAATTAATCATAGCACAAGTTTATCATGAAAGTCCTCTGGATTATAGGTTTTCATCACAAAATCTAGACGTTTATTCCTAATCATGTATACAAAGATTGCCATATCTGAGCTGTTTCTAAGTGGAATTGATTTTCCCACTGCCACTGTTTAAATTGTGCAGCATGTTATCTGAAAGTCGTGGTCTTTTCCTGCCTTTCAGGCTTGCACAGATGGAAAGGACCAATGGCTCCTTCCTCATGGACAGCAGCTCCACCACAGGAAGCGTGTAAGTAACTCAGACTCACTGTGCCTCTCAGGAACTTTGGTTATAGGTTCATGCTAAAGTCTTCAGCAGTTCTAACACAGGACTTAGTCCCAGTGAGAGCAGCTAATGAGTCCCAGGATGCCTCCATAAGTTTAATTATTCCAAGCACCAGTTGTAGAAATTGGTGGTGTTCACTTGACAGTGTGTGGGAACTCTGTCAACCATTCTGCTTCAAAAGTGAGAGTATTTCATGTGACTCATAAAAGGTCATAGCTCTGTGCATTCTACTTTGTATTCCTTTTCTGCTTTTATCATAGTATAATAGAAAATAATCCTTTTCTAGGCTTTTTCTAGACCCTAGACAACTTTCTTATTAAAATAAAAAATCATCTGTACTTTGAAGATTCTTCTGAGCAAGAACAGTGTTGCTGCTTCTTGTTTATATTTCAATTTTCTGGCTGCTGATCCATCTGTTTGTACCTGGAATTGTCCTGTGTAGTAAATATAGTCCTACATTAATTTTACCAATTTTCACTTCTTTTTTTTTTTTTTTTTTAATTATGTGCCACCTTTACTGTAAAACTAATTAAAATGCATTGGTTCTATGCTTGGAAAACATAGAACCTCTTGAACTGCTGATTAATTTAATAATTTTTTTAAATGTAGAAACAAATGTTTTAACCTCACTTCATCATCAGTTCAGTTAATTAAATCAGCATCGTAGGACTCTGCCTCTTCTAAGTTATTAGCAAATACCATCAGCATTTTTAAAGGGGAAAACTGAAATTGTTCTTGTTCAGCTTTAATTAAAAAATACTGTTGGTCTTAGTAATACTTTCATTTACTGTTTTAAAATTTAATAATGAAATTTTTCTGTCTTACACTATTAGTGTGCCAACAATTTGAGATTGAAAATACTTTGCTTGAAAGAAGCACATGCTTCTTCACAAGAATACATGCTTGAAAGAAACCCTTTAAATGTTGCCTTTTTCCTGATTAATTAACTCTATTTACATACCAAATAAAACTTTTTCATGCAAACTGTTTTAATGTGTTTCTGTCATTGGCACACTCACCAGTGAGAGAAATGCAGCCAAATATTCCCTTTTGATTTCTCTTCCACAAAAAAAAGAAGAGCAAACATACTGTCATTTGGCAGGAAAGCTGCAAACTTGAAGACAGCTAAATGCTCATACACTTGAGTTGTGTATTTGGAAATTAATGAGCCTACTCATACAAAGACAAAACAACCATCCATCCCAAAGGCAGGGTGTATGCTTGATTTTTATTGGCAAATCAGCTGTGGATTTTAAAGCATTTTCCCTGCATTCCTTTTCCTTAGAAAAAGAATCAAGATGGAAAGCTCGTGTACCAATGAGTGAGAGGGATCTCTGAATTTGGGTCTCAGTCAGGGGTTTGTTGCGCAAACAAAATATGGGCAAAAAAGTAACCTTGTACACAAGGGCACCTTCTGTTTTATTTGCAGATGACTGTGCATGCTCTCATTAAGGCATAAGTATTGAAGTACTCAAAATTCTGAAGGCCTGTGGTTTAAAGTTTAAACTATATTCATAGAATCATTTATGTTGGAAAAGACCTTTAAGATCATTAATCCAACTGTCCAAGTCCACCACTAATCCATGTTACCGAGTGCCACATCTACTTCCCTTAAATGCCTCCAGTGATGGTCCCTCATCCACTGCCCTGGGCTACCTCTTCCAGTGCTTGACAGCCCTTCTTGATGGAGAGGTTTGTTCAGGGAACTACAGAGCTATAAAGTTTGTATCCCAGTTTGGATCAGAAATTGCTGAAATTTTGGGAGTTTAGGATTATTGTTCAAACCTATTCTTATTTTTTTAAATGCCACTTATAGAAATGGGGGTGGTGTAACCATTCTTATATGGATAGAATTCAAAGGAGCAATTTGAAATGTGAATACATGTTTTTTCAGTTCAGATGTAGAGCTCTGAGCCAAACTGCTTTTTTTTTTCAGTATTATTTCAAACATTCAGGAAACAATTACTAATTTGGAAATCAAATTCTTTGGTTCTCATAATTGGATTTCTGCTTCATGATCTTATTTTTATTGGTCCTGAAGAGTCCTTCAGTTTACTGAGGCAGTGTTGCACTTGATTTTGAAAGTTACTTCTTTGGTCTTATCAAGTTCACAATACTTTTAACATTCTTCATGCTTCAGAGATTATGTGTAAGAAGTCATCTGCATTTGAATAAGAGAACTTCTGCTCTAAGTTAAACATAATGAGTTTGTTTTCAGGAACATTTTGCAATATGCCATTTGATTAAGAAAGCACTCATCAAGGATAATTCTTGGGTTTTAACTAACCTGTTTTCTTGAATGTCATTGTGACTTTTATCTCTCTGACTAAGCCTTTCCTGCCCTCCCCTTTTCAAAAGATATGTGAGGTCCATTAAAAAATGCATATTCCTTAATCAGAAAAATAGTTGTAGATAGGAAAAAAAAAGGCACAGTCTCTACTGTAGTATGTCCAGCTTCTTTAAAAACATTCTAATGCTCTCATGCATGAACTTTCTGGTACAAATACACTGAATAGAAATGTTTTCTTTTCATGTCATCTTCTCCTGACATCAGTTCTAAATGTTTAGGCTAGAATGTTGGGACGGATTTTATTTGGCTTTAATTCATGCAAAAGCATCTCTATCTTTAAAGCAGACTTACCTATTCGTAAATGAAGATGAGCTTAAATAAAAAATTAAGTCTTTACAACTAGAAATGATAAATAGTTCTAACAGAAAGCTGTGCTTCACAATTTGATAAATCGTGCTGTATTAGAATGAAAATAAAAATTGTTAGAGGAATAGGACAAGAGGGTAACTTTCCTATTCCTGTAAGGTATGAACTATCCTAACCAGCCCGTGCTGAAGGGAATTGCAGTGGGCATAGTATAAATACTTCCAGAATAAATGCAGATGCCTAATAGCTGTTTTCTGGTTTGTGCCTTTACGAGCAGTTATGTTCACATCCGCAGCATTGTTGATGCTATTTTCATACTCATCTTAAGGCAGAGTTGGAACATATCTGAAATTTTACTTCTTAGGGGACTCTGCACTCAGGTTCAGAAGTGAAGATCATTGATACTTTTACCTGGCACTGCTACTTAATGTGGTGTAAGTCAAACTGGAGCCTCAGTATGTAGTAACTGAGTACTGTGACATGATGTAAGGGGTTGAAAGGTATCTTGTCCCAAGGAGAAATTAGTTTCATTGCATGGCAAAATCAGGAGAAGAGCAAGTAAATTAGATAAAGTATTTTTGGGTACCTTTTGCATCCTTATTCTAGTATGTCTCATAGCATCAGTAGGTCAAGGTACGCTTTATTTGGATTAGAACACATGGTGCTTAGTACGAGATCTACAGCAAAAATGAAAATTGTCAATGAGGTAAGTTCACAAATAGCCACATCTTCCTATCTTTAATCAAATTGAGAAGTTTTCTTAATCAGATAAAATAATACACTGCTGAAAAGTGATGGTAAAGAAATCTATATTTTCTTTCTATAACATAGTCCAAAAAAAGAGAGGTTATATGCAGCTTTATTTGCCTCGTTTCCTCTATGCACAATGCATGTTTTAGAATAGACATCTTGAAAATATATGTCCACAAAGAGAATATGATCCTTCAAAGGCTGTTTCCCCTAGGCTTCTTTGTTGGGGTGTTCTTTTCCTCTGAGATATACCTCTTTCAAGTCTGACCTTCTGGGATGTCTTGTTTGCTGCTTTTTACTATGGTGAAATGCAGAATAGGAACTGCAGCCTCTGCTGTCAAAGGACTTTGTGTACTTCTACTTGTTCCTCAAAGCACACAGGGTATTCAATAAAATAACCACCAAGAAAGAATGAGCAATTAAATTTTACATGATGCTTTTATTTTGATTGCTGATCACCATCTCCTGCCACTTCAACAGAACAATGTCCCAGATTCTCAAACTGAAAGCATTTGCCTGGCATAGAACAATGACCTTATGTTTCAGGTCATTTGAAGCCCTGTCCTGGGACTTCTGTGCTCCTAATGAATCTATCCTAATTATAGTCATGAGATTTATTGGTGCAGGTTCAAGGTTGTGTTTTTGTAAACTAGTAATTTTGCAAGACAGACCAAAGGTAGAAAACATGGTGAAAATACAGTTTTGCTTCAGAAGACTTCCTTTATCAAGCACCTGTGAGAAAAGCATGCTGTCAGTTGCAACGTGTGATGCCTAAAAAAAGAGCAATCAATATTCACAGCCTCTCCAGTAGGCTTTCTGAGGCTCTGAACCAGTGGGAGAGAAGGGAAATGCAGCTTTTTCTAGACTGAATAACTTTGAGACCAAAATATAAAATTTCCTGTATTTAGCTGTATTGATCTCATCTACTGGATCGCAATACAGTACATAAGCATTTACTGTGTAAACTGTTCTTTTAAAAGCCTTTATAGGTTTCACTAAAAATTGAAGTTACACCTAATGCAAAATCTTAACAGAGTCTCAGGTTTAACAAATTCCAATAAATTTAATAAATCCAGCTTTACAGAGCCTTATTTTAAAAAAGATCCAGTTTAAATTTTGTTTATAAACTATTTCACCATTTCAAAACATACACAGCAGCTTTTTGATGCCTAATGAAAATAACCAGACTAAACTACATCAAGTGAACGTTTCCTGACATCATCAACACCCTTCCTGACATCATCAACACCCTTGCTGTATGTGTAGTCACACAGTATCACTTTAAATTTTGTTTATAAACTATTTCACCATTTCAAAACATACACAGCAGCTTTTTGATGCCTAAGGAAAATAACCAGACTAAACTACATCAAGTGAACGTTTCCTGACGTCATCAACACCCTTGCACAAAAGAAGGCTGTATGGGTAGTCACACAGTATCACTTGAATTCACATGCAAACAGTGTTTTGAAGCCTGGATGATAAAGCTGTGTTCTCTCACCTGCCTGCTTTAACTCTGTTTCTGTGCTTGCCCAAGGTGTGACATTGAATTACCGTCACTCTTGGCTCGCTGTGGCCATTTCACTCACAGGGTACTCTGCATGCTTTGCAGGGCTATTTGAAGCCCCCAGAGGGGTTACATCACTTTGGCAAAAATTTTGTTAAAAGGGGTAGGGTATTTTTGTCAGAATGACTAAAGGGTATAGAAGTATAATGAGGTTTTAATTATCACTTTGGGACTGGATCCAAACTCCATTAACTGCACTAGCCTTTGTTTTAATTTTAAGTAGACATGGACTATTAATGAAAAACACTAGTGATTATGAATTTCCCTGAGATCACTCAAGTAGTGAAGAAGATAAAGCAGTTAAAGGCTTTTTTTTGTTTGTTTTGTTTTGTAGATAAGGGGGGGAAAGGAACACTGATCTGTTTCTTTCTGTTTCTTTTTCAGCTAACACTATTGGATGTCACTATTTTTTAAGGACTTAAATGCACATGCAATCCCAATTGCATTTAACTCTCTCTATATATGTATTTAATGAAAAACTCATTAAATTTATTCATTTGCAGGGAAGATCCATGTTGTCATTTCTGTACTGACAACAGCCAAGACAGCTAAGAAATGAGTGAATGTACATTATTTTCTTTAAACTTTCTACTAATTTTTAAAAGCAAAACTCAATAATTAGGTTTTTTCATTCAGTGGGCAGAACTGTCACTGGCTATATTTTTTCTTGTTTGGATATTTTTCAGCAGACACAGTGTTACTGATGTAAATTTATTTGATTGCACAAGTCTAAATTTTCAAGTCTCAAAGACAGGTTGGAAAGTGGAATCCACATGATAGCTTTGGGTAGATAGTGAATAGTTATCCTTGGAAATAAATAATTTGGTGCTGTTCTACCATGAGATTAGTCTTCAGTACAAATTTTGTCTTAGGCAGTACTACAAAGAACCAAATCATTTCGCTAAATGATAAGTTCTTTTCCAAGAGAGACACAGCAGGAATCAGGATTTATTAAATATTTGGCTTTCTTATCTTGTTTCTAATACTGATGATGCATTTCAATTAGAATTTATATACTGAGCTAACAGTAGATTAACAGGATCAAGTAAGATTTTTCATTTCACAAACAGTATTTTTGCAACTCTCATCTGTTCCTGTCATGAGTGTTTTCTCCTTCTGTGCCAGGAGTTGGAACTTATTTCTGAGGTACCCCCCCAACCCAAATGCATGTCCCATAAGACACCTAATGAGTTTCACTTGTACATGCATTTATTTATAGACTATTTCTCACCACAGAAATAGCAGCTTTTACTTCCAGGGTATACTTTTCTACATAACTGGTTTTAGTATTCATTCAAATGAGACAGTACATTTGGAAATTCTGTGATGAAAGATGTTAAATTGACTGACAGGAATTTTTTTAAAGCCTCCTGAAAAATCTCCATTGCACTTTTATTTGGAAAATAAATACTTTGCATACAGTGAACTTCTGATATTTTGCATGTGTTCGTAAAGGCATTCCTTAAGGATGCTTTTCATTCCCTAACCAGTGGATAGCAGAATTTGCAGCTGCTACTTTCCAACAACAGGAGGAAAAAAGCACATAAAATATTTTTAATGTGAAAAAGTCTCTTTTCTAAATAATATCAGAATATGTGTGTGCTGCTCGTGGGTGTGTCACTCTGCTCTGACCATGCTTTAACAGTAGGAGATCCTTAGGGTAAAGTCTGTACCAATAATTCATGATATCATAACTTGTGCAGTATCTGGTTTGTAGTCAATTAAAGGAAATAATTTAAGGAGGGTTTTCTTCATCATTTTTACTGCTGCAGCAACTTCTCTCTTAAAAATGAATAGTATATGTTTTTCTGTTGTTGATTCTTGAGTAACCAAGATAAATTTTTCTTGAGTAACCAAGCAAGTAAACTGGTTTTAGGATGTGGTATCTTTCATTTTCTATCCATCTGACTTTATTTATGGAGAAAAACCAGCAACTTGGAAAGTAAGGCACATCTGTACAAAACCAAATTCACTTGGGTATTAAAGCATAATTGAAAGTGTCAGGACTTCTGTATCTCCTTACCAGAAGGTAATTTCATGTGAGCCAGGAGGAGGACAGTGTTATAGTTTATTTCTGTCCCTGAACCTCTAAGAAGGAAATCTATTACCAATACAGAATTTCAAGGTCCTGTATGTGTATATCAAAATAGGGGGAGAAAAATTGAACTTTTTTCTCTAATTTTAATGGGACTTTTTTGTTCTCTAATCATATCAGGTAAATTGAGCAAACCAAAATTATCTCCTAAAAATTTCAAACATGTCACATATTGTTAAAAAATCAGTCTAGAAGATGCTTGTTTGTTTTATTTTTTTTAAGGCATTTCAAATCAGTCAACTTTAATTGCTGATTCTTGTTTTCACTCATTCTTTTCGGGAGACTAGAAACATTCGTTCTTTATGCATAGATTAAACTAAACTGATCCCTTACTGCAAATTAATATTTTTTTTCCCTTTGCATTATATGTTTATGTGGTTTCCTTTCAGTATGTTTTTCAGGCTTAATTTCGTCTGGCTTAGTCTTTTTCCATAAACAAACAAAATCCCTCATCTTGATAGAGATGTTTGCTCACATAATAAATGCTTTACTGCTCTGTCTTTATCTGTGTTGCTTTATTGTTTCAGAGAGGATGAGCATGCCCTTATCCAGCAGTATTGTCAGACACTGGGAGGAGAGTCACCTGTGAGTCAGCCACAGAGTCCTGCTCAGATACTCAAGTCGGTGGAGAAGGAAGAGCGGGGAGAGTTGGAGCGTATCATTGCTGACCTTGAGGAAGAGCAAAGGTCTCATAATCATTGTACTGGTGTCTGAATTGTCATTTTGTTGCTGTTTGAGCCATGCATGTGCTATGTTGAAGATGAGAAAGACCTAGAAGTTATGATTTTAGCAAATAAAAAACCCAAACAACAATCCACAATCAAGGCAATATATATTGTGCATAGGCTGGCTCTGTTAGAAGAGGGAGGTGTCAGAGAAGAAATAAATTAGTTTCACTTTTACTTCACTGCCTTTTTTTCAATCCCCCATAAAACACAAGTCAACACATTGTCTTTGTTTGAGCTATTTGTATTCTTAGTTGGAGATGCTAACAGTGTTTGATCTGAGAATTCTTTTAGTTTCATTTACTTGATCAAATTCTTTTATTTCCATTCTCCTCCACTTTTCAATATCCCAGGAGCCTGCAGATAGAATATGAGCAACTAAAGGAGCAACATCTTCGGAGAGGAATAAACCCTCTTGCATCACCTCCTGACTCTGTTGTGTTACCTCAGCATGCTTCTGAAGATGCCGAGCTCATTGCTGAAGCTAAACTCCTGAGACAGCATAAAGGTCGCCTGGAAGCAAGGATGCAAATATTGGAAGATCACAATAAACAATTGGAGTCTCAGCTTCACAGGCTACGGCAGCTACTTGAGCAGGTACATGTACGCTTTGCCCCATATTGTTTCTGGACAGTGGATTTCTTGGTGGAGCAAAGGCATTGACATTATAGTGCAGGTATTTGCACCATTTACTCTTGGTCTGCTACAATCAGTCATTTCTAACGAGATGTTTTTTGTTACCCTCTAGTATTATATATATAATACTCATGATAAATGTCAAATAAGCAGAAAATGATTGCAAGTGCTGGAGTGATCATGGGAACTTAGGAAACACTGAGAATAACTTAATTAAAAAGCATGGGGAGAAAATATAGATCCTACTCCAAGTAATGATGCCAGCCACATTCCATGTTTTACTTCAGTTTTACCAGATGCTTTCCTTAAATAATATGTTTATTTGTTATCACAGTTAGTCACTCAGGCCTCTCATAACATGCCAGAGACAGATGGTCAAAGATATGTCTGAAATACAAAGGAGCAATTCAATTAAAAATCCAGTTCCTCTTGAGTGGCATATCACCAGTAAGCTACAGCAAAGTGGTCTTTCACACAAGCAAATGCTGGAGTAAGAAACTTTCAGCAAGTGCTGGTAGCTGGAGATCATAGGGTTTCCATGTTGGCAGAAGGAGCACTGATTGCTTTGGAAGTCAGCATGTGCACACCCGGCTTGTAAAAATAACAGAAGCATCATACACCATAATAACAGGAGCAACATAGGTGTTGTTAGAGATGGTAGTTTGTACTATATCAGGTGTGGAAGCTTGACTAATGAAGATAAATTTGTATTAATATTTTCTTCTAATTAATCATTGTGTTTGGGTCAGAGTACAGTAAGGCAAGTATTTCCTGCCTTCCATGAGTCAGATGTAGTAGGGGATTTAACTAAGCCAAGAAACAGGCTACATAAACCAGGTATTAAAATGGCCCAAGTTCCTGCTGTACATCATACCCTCATTACAGGGATTAAGGTATTTGCTGTTTGTTTCACTGGCTGACTTTGTCAATTTTCTAGGCAGGTTTGGCTCAATAGGATTTAGATGCATCTGTTTCAATAATTTATTTCTCTACCCCTTTAGCAGAGTAATTTTTGTTGCTACTGTTATTCTAGCATTTTAATCAGTATTTGAGTAGCTGTAATCTTTCATAAGGAAGATAGTAACTGGTGCATTGTTAATAATAATTTATAAACTAATGATCTTGGGATATATGGCCAATACTTGGTCTTTCAGAGAAGGGTTTAAAATCTGCAGAAAGAAACATGGTTGAATAGAGCAGAGAAGTTCTGCCAAACCCATGGTCCCTTGCAGCTTAGTGCTCAGAGCAGAAACTTGTTCACCCCTTAAAACTCTTTTTTTCCTTTCCCTAATGTAGCTGAGGATGATCTCACAATTCTGTAATATTTTTGAAATCCTTACACCAATCTTAGTAACACTTTAGGGTATACATCTTTGTTGTGATAAAATGGGTGGGAGAAGGGACAGTAATTCTTATAATTTCTGTCTTTGGAATTTTCTAGGCATTCTGCAGCTTTTGGGTTCAGATAGGGTAAAGCAGAATAGAGGTGACATTTTTCAAAATTTCTGACTGTTTACAACTCATTTACTGTATACTGTTGCTCTTTTGCTTTCTGTCCACATTGTGGACTCTCTGTGGGAGTCATGCCATCCTTCTGATTGTCCCAAGTATTATTTCTTAAGGTCTTTGTTTCTACTCTGTCATTTAATAAAGTGGCTCAGAGTCAAGTATATGAAAAGATCTGCATTATTTCTTTTATAACCTGTCTTTTCAATGTGCCTTTCTATACATATCATTACTTAATTCACCAGATGTTTTACAAGCTATTTCCAGAATGTTGCAGCTACTCCCCTGATGGGGATTCTGAAATTATAAATAATTTAAATTTTAGTAATGTTCTTTGAAGTTTATTTTGACATTGATAGAATTATGAAGCAACTGATTTCTATTACTGCCCCCTTTCTGAAAAAAATGACCACTTTTCAGCATGTTTGTGTTCTGTCAGCTTGGCCACTACCTTTTAGGACAGCCTTTATCTCTTTCACTGCTTGGGGAAGGACTTTATTGGAGGCCTACTTATAGTTATTTGTTTCCTTTGCTTTTACTGGCTGTCCCAGTTATTTTTAGGAGATTAAAGGAATACCTTTTCTTATTAATGAGATGGATGATTTGCAAGAAAGACACTCATAAGTCTCAATCTCAAAATATATAACCACAATAAAATTACTAGTATTAAAGGACACAACTGTCTTACAGCAATATCTTTGCCATGGCTGGCATTTCATGCCATCTCTGTTTGCCTGTTCTATCAACAGCAGCTCTCCCCATTCCTCTTCTCCACTAGCCTCCTAACTGGTGTTTTATACCACTGAGTATAAAATACTGCGACTTTTTTTTTCCAAAAGATTGGAGTGACTCTGTCTACACAAAGATATGGGGGTAGAGAGTTTATGAAATTTGGAAACTTTCATGTAGTAACTGCTTAATCTAGATGAGAGCATTCTAGGACATCTTTAGAGAGCACCTTCAGCAGAAATATGCATGCATCCTCACTGCACATTTGTCTACTTCAGGTCACAATTCTGAGGTTACCATACTATTTTTACTTTAGCAAGCCCAAAGGATTGGTACCTGTCACAGAATGTTGTCATTTTTGTCTGCCTGATTGATTAGGGTGCCAAAGAGGAAGGTGAAACAGAACTGGCATGTGACAGCTTTGATACCAACATGTTAATCAGACAGAGAAAAAACAAAGTATCCATTCTCATTTTTCTTTCTTCAGCCTTTATAGATACTGCATTTGCAAAGTCAAAGTGAGGCCTATTATGAAGGGCATTTAAAGTCTGTTTGGATTTTTCTCTGTTTTCTTTGAGCTGCTGAATAGAGACTTCATATTGGATGTGATATTGAAGTTAGTGGGGGCTGAAATCATCTGTCAACAGCTGTATGATCAGACAGTGAGTAAATAGGGGCTGCAACTCTCTCTCCAGCTGAAAGCAGAAGAGCTTTATCAGAAAAGCACAGGAGAGTTTGTTTCTTTTATAGCTGTGAGAAAAATTCTGGAGGAAGAAGAAACATCTGTAATGAATGTGATAGTAAAGTTGGCATTTTTGAGGTTTCTGGTGATTCAGACTGGGGACACTGAGGTTTAGTTTGGTTTTTACCAAAGCAGCAGAAGTTAAGGAAAAAGCAGGTATGTCTTAGCTGTCCATTAAGCCACAGGGCACTTCAGGCTCTTCTTTAGGAAAGACACCAGCAGGAGGCATAGTGAAATAAGGCACTATAGATTAGAACTGGTTGAAATAAATGTCTCCTTTGGAACGCTTTAAAAACTGCTGTAATATAGAAACAAAATCCATCCACAAATTTATTGTTTTCTGGAGAAGGATTTATTTGTCCTTTCATATCCTTGCTTGTTTTTACCTAAAAAGAAGATTGAAAACTCCCTGGACTGGAGTTGGAAACATCTCCCTTATCCCTATAGAGGCATACTCAGTATCCCTGCTTTTATTTCTTTCAAGCAGCAGCAGCTGTATAATAATAATCTAGAGTTATTTGGTTTTGGTTTCTGTCTTAAGGGCTATCTGCTGAGTTGTTTTGAATAAGAATACATGAACTTCATGATGCCTGAAGTGGGTTAGGATGAAAGAGCTCTTATTTTGTAGGTGTTATATAATTGGAGTCAAATAGAATGTGATTTTCTACTGCTATTTTTCTCAAATTCTCCAACAATAAAATTGTTAAATCACGTAAATACATGCCAGTATATCTATATCTTCAACTGGTTTGCATTTAACATTTTCCAGTATCTGGTGATTTTACTAAGGCAATTATATCACCACAAAACTTCACTTTCTGCTCCAAACCCCACTCTTCAGCTGCTTAACAATATTGTCCTTAATTTGGAAGAAGAGTTTGATTTGTTTAGGCTTTTATTTTTATTGCAATCACTGGAACTATGCAGTGCATCATTTGTCAGTATATTTAAATGGAAATGAAGTAATCAGGTATTGTCATCTGATTAGAAGATGATAGTGTTGTGGGTTTTGACTTGTTTTTAAATCCAGCTGCAATGTTTCATTCTGACTGCTGCAGCAACCTATGGTACATCAATGTAAGATTTTCCTCACAATTAAGGTTTTCCAAAGTATGTTTTGTTTTCTCTCAGTTTATCCACTGATAATGCTTGTGCTCTGCAGTGGTCTTTTATCACTTGCAATAGAGCTACTAAGTGGTACCTTGACTAACTCATCACCTGAGTTTGTAGGCATTTAGTTTCTGTCTATCAACATGAGCTGCTGACTTTGCCATGCCTCACTATCCTTGACTGAGCCTATGTGTTGCTGTGCTGCAGTTTTGTCTGTCCAGCACAGATCTTCTCATTAATCTGTGCACAATTTATTCATAGTTGCTGCTTGAACAGGGCCAGAGGATGAGATTTACTCCAGGTGAAAGTTTGCATTTTGGATGATTCGCATTCTCCCTGTTCCTCTGTTTGTGGGGTGGGCAAGCAGTGACTCCACTGCTGGAGTAGTTTTTTTGTTCTGTATTGAAGGGACTCTTCACCTGTGGAGAATTTGCTTCCTCTCTCTACCATTACAGCTCTAAAATTTCAGGCAATGGTTCCTGGCAATACAGAATTGCCTGGGTTAAGGTATCCCAGGCTTCTCTGATTTAAAATCACCACACTCATTTTACTTAAACTCTTTAGCTGGTACTGAGCAGCAAATTACTTAACTGCCTGATAGTAATTCACTGTTCATAGAAGTGTCTTGACAGTGAAGTCCTTCTCTGGCTTGAAAACATTTCCAATTTTCTTTGTCTCCTATGCAGACTAAAATTTCTTGATTTATTCATTTAGTCAAAGCTGGCCTTTAGTATTGTCAAGCTGAAAGAGAATATTTAGAGGAGTTTTACTGAAGATTGTTTTTGTTAGGTTGGAAGCGATCTCAGCAAATTGAGTATTTCAATTAAGGCTGTGAAGTGCAAAGGAGCAAACTTATGCACAAATTAACAGCCATTCTGTATTCTAACTGTGCATCAAGTCTCATAGCTGTTCTAGGTACTTGCTCAGTTTTGGAAAGATCTTAAAAGCAATGATCTTTTGTATTACTTCAGCATCTGCTTTTGATAGATTTACTTAAATAATCTGCTCCTTAAGCTGTTCAGAAGTAATCTCATGATTTGCAATCAAAAAGATAAGTGATAGCAGCAACAATTTCAGTTAAATTTACCTCAGATGTCAATATTATTTCATTTATTTATGGTTTTTTTCAGAACAATCACTTCTAGAGCTCAAATATTGTATTACCAGTATCTTCCTTGAAGGAATTTTTAAAATAAGAAAGGAAGGAAAAGATGGGGAAAATGCCTGAATAAGGTCCCTTCCAATATTTCTGAGCTGCTATGGCCTTTTCTTATTTTCTGTCCATATATGTATGTATATATGTATGCATATTACATATACATTCCATGTATACTTAAATGTAATCTCAAATACCAACATTGTTGCAGCTAAATGTAATATCAATTTCAGTGATTCTTCAAGTGAATTTAAGAGTCCAGAAAAGCATCTTTTCAAAGTGTATAAGTTATTTCTCATAATTTTCAGGAGTCTGTGTAGTACAAGTTCCTGCAAATTTGGTGTCTTCCACAAGGCTGAGAAGCAGCGTCAGAAGGAGTGTTGGCTGGCTACCACTTTTTAGATTTAATGAAATTAATTAATTTAATTTAATGAAATTAAATCTAAAAAGTTTTGAATCTGTCTTGAGTCTTCATTCGATTCTGGAGTTCTACAATCAGGAGTCTGTGTAGTACAAGTTCCTGCAAATTTGGTGTCTTCCACAAGGCTGAGAAGCAGCGTCAGAAGGAGTGTTGGCTGGCTACCACTTTTTAGATTTAATGAAATAGTTTTGAATCTGTCTTGAGTATTCATTTGATTCTGGAGTTCTACAGTCTTGTGATTGAACAGCTGTTTCTAAGCATGTTTAGTCATCCTTGTAAAGCTTTTTATGGGCCCCTAGCTGAATGTCCTGTTTGTGTGTGCATATGTGTGTACATGGGTATATACCCCTGCAGATAAACACAACCCAAATGATCCCATTGTGTAGTCTTTCTGCAGAGCTGGACTGGGAACCTTGGCATACTGTGTATGTTACATATTACATTGTGTTTTTGTGATGCAACAGAATGTTGTTTTTAACAAGACCGTCAACTGGAGTCTTGTAAGAGCTGTACTTAAGTCTAGATTTTCTTTTAACAAATTCTTTTTTTTGGTTTTTTTTTACCCTTCATCACTTGTATGATGAAGGGTAAATTTTCAATAGTTTGGAGGACAAACAAGAAAGAGCACATAAAAAAAGGAAAGGAACAAGATGGCTGCATACTAGCCTACAATTAAATTATGTGGATACAAGTAACCTAAATTTGTGTCTTCTTGTCTTTGATGCAGCCCGAGTCAGACTCCCGGGTCAATGGCGCCTCCCCATGTGCTTCGCCCCAGCACTCTGCCCTGGGCTTCCCACTGGAGCAGGACACAAGCTCACACTTCCATCAGACAGGTGAGTGTTCTGATCAGATAACGTGCTCATGAGGCCGTAGGTGACTACTGCATAGGTTTGTTGGTACCTTCTGGACAGATCTGTAAATCAAAAGGAGCGGATCTTTGCAATGCTTCTGCTCGGTGCAGCTGGAGGTGTGGCTCCCTCACACTTGCAAAGGGCTGTGGTATCCTAAGAATCCACGTGACTCTGAATTACAGACTTTTGTCAATAGACTACTTGGTTCCAGCTGTTCTTACCAAGTGAATTTACTGGGCAAATCCATCCTCACTGAAAGGGGAGCCAGACTTCATTGGACTGAAGTGGCCAAGAGCTGTTTGTCCAGTACATGGACCCAAGTAATCTGTCAAATGCAGGACCAAATGTCCAAATCATATAATCTACACTTGCTATGTGCTTTAAAAAGTCTTGTGTAACCTCTGCTTATCCTGGTATTTTGATGTTCCCATGCCCAAAAGGTTCACATCTTTAGGAGTAATTCAATATTTATGGGTACAGGCTCTCCACATGAAGGGATTTCTTTCTCGCTTGGAAGATTATTTTAAATTCTCTGGTATCAGAACTCATTAATTTCACCATGAGTTAGCAGAAATAACTGCAGACCATTGCATGGACAAAAGTAGGGGAAAAGAGAAAATATTTTTCTCAAATTATCTTAGGTATAAATTCCTCCTGTTTCTGTTTTTAAGCTTTGTGTTATAGATGAAATATTACTTTGTTTCTGTAGAAAACAGGAAAAATATTCTCTTGCATACTGAACAATTTTCATTCAGCATTAACATATGTTTTTCCTTTACCTGGAAAAACATGGGACTTGAGTCTGATTTCATGCAGTATGAAAGATGCTGTCCACTAAAACTACCAACAACACAGCCAGTTATGTTCCCTAACCATTCTCTTAACTAATTTTAAGCATCATTTTTCAAAGAGATGGCAAGGGGGATTTTAGCACTACTGAAATGGCTGGTACATATTGAATAGAAACCATCTAAAAGATAAATGTTGGTATTTTTTTCAGAGAAAAAATGGTGTGTGCACTCTGAAAGTTGCATGACAAATTGTCTGCAATTGGAACAGAATTTTAATAGAGTAGCTACTGAGTTTAATTCCCTCATCTCGTAATTTTATTTAACTGTAAATGTTTATATACTGTTACTTGCTGGCAACTTCTAGTTAAATCCTGGATGCAATGGTTAAATTTTAATGAAAGAGAAATGAGTTTGACTGCAAATCAATAATGTAACTTTCATGTCCTCTCCCAAAGCTGGCAATTATCGATGATAGTTCCTGCACATTACAAAGGTTTCAGGTACTGTTTTCCCTTGAAATATAAAGGAGTAATTAACTGGAATGTTGGCTAAGAATGCCTTTTAGAATGTTGTTGTCCTTTTATTTTTTTTCTCCTCCTGTTACAAAAATGATTTTTTGTTGTCATATCTGCAGATGACTTGTTAGTTCCACCTCATGATACCAATACAGATCTAACAGATGTTATGGAGCAAATCAACAACACATTTCCAGCTTGTTGCTGTAAGTTTAACAAAATATGTCTCTGAGAATCATATTGAATTTCAGGTGGTCTTTTGAAAAAAAAAATCATTCTTGTGGTATTGATTAGGAAAATAAATATCTCTGAGGAGATTTCTTGTGTAGATATGCAAGCTATATAATTCTGTCCCTTAAAATTCCTCAACAGACACTGCTTTTGAGGATAAATAAATGTTTTCAAATGGAAGCAATTCACTATAAGAAAAACCTGTAGCTCAGCGTGGAATTTTCAGCAGTGCCCAAATAAGGAGAAAGACATCTAAAATCTCACTAGCTGCTGATGAAAACCTTTTGTAGAACTTAAGTGAATACAGAATCCAGATTCTGAATGCAATTTTTGTAATAAAGCTTGAAAAAAAAGTTCTTAGACAATTAGTCCTTAGACTAATTACTGAGGTAGTTATTAAATAGATCAGAGGAAATCTGTGAATGCAGCACATAACACTTTTTCCTGCGTAAATGCATTGGAAGTTAATATTTTATTCGGTGTCTATTAAAGAGAGATCAAAAGGAAAACCAGCTTGTTCCTATGCATGTCCTGTATCAGCTGACATACATTTCCCCTGATCCTCCTTCCAGTGTCACTGACCTTGCAAAAGTGAGAATCTGTCTCATGTATTATGGTGGGTTTTGTAAAATACATTTATACATATATATGTCTTTCTCTATATATATTCCAGGTCTTTTGCTTAGAAAAACAGTAGGGAAAACTTTGATATATTTGCAAAACTGTTGAAAGTTTCAAATGAAATGTAATAATAATGATCAGTTTTAAAAGGCAGAAGTCAGAGAGTGGCTGTTTATGCCCAGTCCTTTTGGAACCAATCAAGACTCAGCCCTGTGCTATTTCATAAACTCTATGAACCCTGTTAAAACACCCCTTTTATCCCTTGAACACACATTGCCGCATCACAGAAGATGCACTTGCATGTTTTGAAAAGCAAATCAGGTTCTAGCAAACAAGGTCGTGTTTCAGCTGTCCTTTTTGATTTTTGATGAGTTCAACAATTCAGAGCCCCTTGTTCTGCAAATTAAGGTTTTGATTCTAAGGAGCATCTCATTTGAGGTCAACAACTAGTGGAGCTGCTCAGCACACCTCAAGGTGTGTGTATTCAAATTGGTATAATCAGGTATAAAATCCAACTCAAGCATTTGTTCTTGGTTTTGCAAATTACTGTCTTGCTCTGTGACTATACAGCTACATTGTCATTTGGCCCAAATGAATTTAAAGCAAATTGCATTGTGTTAGGACAAGCTTGGTAAGGATGGCCGTTCTCCAGGACTGGAAAACAGAAAAAAATTCTCTGATTCCATGAACAAACACCTTGAATGAGACAGGAGAATACTGCAAGTGAAAACCATGACCCCTTCATATTGTCTATCTGAGCATTTAAGATTAAAAGGAGATACAGTTCCAAATTTCATGTGATTTTTCCCCATTGTCAGCTTAAACCACCTTGCCCCAGTTAGTAGGTACTGCTTATGTTTGTTCTCATTCAGTCATTCTATAACATCTTTTACTTTGAAGTAAATTTTTTTAACTGTCAGATTCATATCTTAAATGTTTTAGAAGCCTGGAATGAGGATTATTAGTCTGACCTTCCCAACAAAGTGCATTAGACTCTGGGTTTTGCTAAGGAAGATCATGGCATACTATCCAAGTCCACTATCTTTTCCTGTGGCCATTTGAGAGGGATCTGTTTTCCTGGCTGGACAATTGTCAAATCTGTTCTGTAAGACTTCGGATGTAGATTCCACGGACTCTCTAGACATCACATTATTCCTAACCTTAAAGAATAATGTCCTTAGACTCTTTATTATATCCAAGCTCAATTTTATCAATACAGCCTTCATGTGCAACATCTCATGTCCAATTATTAAAAAAAAAAATCAAACGAGAAAGTAAAAATCTTCCTTCAAAATCTCATCTTTACTTGTCTCTTCTGCCATGGCCACAGCCTCCATCAAGGAGTTACTAGCATCTGAGCCTTATGCAGATAAATTTTATCCCATTTTGACTGTTTAACAAAGACAGAAGTCTTGCTTGTTTTCATGGGTTTCAGGTTATAATTCATCTTGAAATTCATGTTTCTATTGATGTCAAATATCCTTTATGAAGCAGTTCATAACAGCATATAGCCAGCAATACTTACAATGGTGGATTTTGTTGTTTTGTGGTTTGGATTTTTTTGTTAGTTTTTTGGTTTTTTTCCATCAGATCCACTGGTCATGGATATAATGCCCCTTTTTCCTTCCTTATTTATGTCATTGGTCCTCAGAAGCAGGCAGGTGTACAGCACTGTTCAAAAGTCTTGTCTGTGCATCTGAGTGATGTCCAGAGCAGAGCATTTTAAACAGATGATACTGTAATACATCACTCAGGCATTCTGATATAGCTACAGATGGTGAAAATTAAGCAATCCATATTAACTATATTGTTATAATGCTATAAATTTGTTAAAACTAAGTTTATGAAGAATTCAACCATTGCAACACATTTCTTGTTAAATGTTTAGTCTTTTAAAGATAACTTTTTTTTTCTTCTGTAGTATGTGTTTTCCTGATAATAACTTTGTTTTTAAACTGTCAAGATGCAGAATTATGTAAATTTCTAACCTTTTTTTTTTCCTATTTGCAGCAAGTTTCGCTGGCAGACCACAGGTATGAGACGTGTTTACATACTTGCATAGACATTGGAAACAAAGTAAAGCAAGTGAAAAGTTCCAGTAGAACAAAGGGGTTCGGGTGGCTTTTGTCTACATTTTTCTGTAGGGGTCTATTTGGGAGCTAAACTGATACCAGAGGAAAGCCAAATTCCAGAATGTTATAGGTAATAGAAAATTTCTACTAGGTCAGACAGCGCCACAGGTATTATGGTTCCGCAGGTCTGTGCTGCTATCCAGATGGAACCTGCTTGCATTTATTTGAGCCAATTAGTTTAAAGCCAGCAGCAGCTTGCAATATCAGAGCTGGTTCTTGCAAAGACGTCCATATGTCCTGGTGCCCACAGCTCCGCTTGCAGGACCTGTGGGCACCAGTGCACGAGGATCAGGAGCCACACAGCACCTTAGGCTTTAAATTAAACAGAGTAGGCAACCGCTTCAGCAAGGACTTTTAACACTGCAATATTGTCGGCTTAGATTTCTTTTAAATGTTTGCCTCAGTTATTTGCTAAGTCTTAGGCCATTACATGTACATTTTTAAAATGCAGGGGTTTTGTAAGATGATGCACAGTCCTGGGCTGACTGAGCCTAGAGCAGGTAGAAGTTTGTGTTGCTGACACGTGGTACTGATGCTGTTTCTCATCACGACAGGCCATGTGAGGTGTTCCTGGGGATGACAGCCAGTGCTTCTGGCGTGCAGCACAGCCCTGTTCTGCATCTGCCGGCCACGCGTTCCGCCTCATCACAAACCCGCGCGGGACCCCGGGACGCGCCGTGCGCTCCGACCGCGTGTTCCGCTTGAAACAGTACAACACTGAATACCCAAAGAAGAGGATGTTGTTTTTATAGTATCTTTTTTTTTTTTTCCTTCTTCCCTTTCTATGCAACTGTAAATTAATGAGCAGTGGAATATTTGTCACTGATTTGTATAAATATACAGCCAGGGGAAAAGGGGCAGGGGCTTTATATACGTTCTTTTTGATAATCGTAAAGAGAACTGCATAAGGAGTTTGGAGCAAAACGTTATGTTTATACATTCCTTTCAGCTCTTTGCTTTTGCATTGTAAAGTACCCTTAGTTATATTCTCACACATGTAATACTCTGTACTGATTATTTGTATGCTAACCTTATGACCACACAGATTTCAGAATATCCTTGCATTGTTTTCAGCGTTGGCATATGAAGTTCCCATAATCTGCATCATTGTTACTGGTTAACAACAATTATCATTAGGTGCAAGATACAATATTTTAACTCAATTAAACAAGGTAAACTCTCATTTCAAGTCATAATTAGCATCCTTATGTACCTAAGTGGTATTTTTAACTTCTTTTTTTGTTATTTCCAGACAACACTCCATTTGGAGGATTATTTTTTTAAGCTTTATTTTACTTTGAATCGGGAGATAGCTAAAAAGAGGACTTAGATGATAGCTTAAGTTGGTTTTAGTAAGAATTAGTGTAACCCTTCCCAACTTTGTCCAGAGACAAAGCTTTGCTGTTCCCTGCTGGGCCAAACTTGCTTCAGGTTTTGGAATTTACAGTCTATGAAGTGAAGCTCATTACTGTGAGATCCCTTTCTTTTGTCTGCCTCTTGGAAATGAAGAGACAATTAAAAAGCCCTTTCCAATACTATTACCAACAGAACTTTCTCCAGAACTGCAGTGCACGTAGGTATTGTCATTTGGCATTGTAATCTTGCAGATCATCCTTATCTTTAAGATAATTTATTTATTTGATTACTTTTGATAAGGATAATTATGGGAAAGTATATCACTGATCATCTGATCTCTAGTTTAAAAATTATCATAAGAGATTTTAATGCCTTCACAGAGTTTACAATGCTGCATGGACACTTGCTTTAATTCTAGGACATACCTTTAATTGGTAAAACTGCATGCAATACCTTTCCTGTATAGTAAAGAGAAACAAAGCTGTGTTGTTCTTAATTATTACTGAAGGAAAAAAATCTTTATCTTAAAATGGTATTGAAAGAGGTGTAAAATTCTCTACTGCTACTCAAAAATGCTAGGGGACATTAAAAGAGCAAGTCAGGAATTTCTGGTGGTTTTGTGAAGTTTTGCCAGCCAGATTGTCCTGCACCCACAGTATTTACTCCTGAACTGCTGCTGCTCAAGGAGTGATTCAGGCACAGTGTTGACCACCTTCTGCTGTTGGCACCAGTGCCAGTTCTTTCTGAACCCTTTGGCAAGTTATTTAACCACTCTGCCTCTGTTTTCCCATCTGTGAAGTGGGGGTGATGTGCTTACCTCTCAAAGGTGATGTAGACTTGGCATTTCTACAGAGCTTTTCAGATGCTAACTAAGTATTAGTCTTGAGCAAGTGGAGCAAAGCTATCAAGGTGGGAAGAAAAGATGCTGGCTCCTATTAAAATGTAATGTAGTTATTCTGAGAAGAAAAAAACCCCACATTTTACAGAAGAGGAAAACCACGACCACCTTTCTACCTCAGACCTATCTTCATAAGTAGTATTGGAAATAGCTTTACATTCTGTTCTCTGCAAAGTACTTAGCTTTTATCAAGCTACATCATTCTCTAGGCAAAGAATCTTAAAAAATACTCCCAACATAAGTATAAAAAGAAATCAGTAGTGAATTTGGTGGATTTTATTTTTGTTCTGAATATGAGGTTATGTATAAAGTTGTTTTTCTGCCTGTGTTTGTATGCCTCCTTTGTCCTCTGCTGCCGAGTAAATGCTGCTTCAAACACTACATTGTAACATTCTTTCTCTGAGACAATAATAAATAAAAGGAATATATTACAGTAACATGAGAAAAAATATGGAGTTCTTCCAAATTTTGTGGGCTTCAAGGATGGCACATCTTATTGCTAAATGCTGAAAATGTAATTCTGAAGATTAACATGAGCAAGCTTTGATAGTCAATTTCTGTGTCCTAGCTTTTTCTCTGTGTGGTTTGAGTTTATATAAATGAGATTAAGCAGTAGTTTTTTTCTTCATAAATCTTGCATATTTTCTCTAGTTTTCCATCTTGAGTGATTTTAGTCTAGAATCCTTCTCAGTTTCATGACAGATAGTAAATCTGATAGCTGAGAAGCAGACTGCTTTTTAAAAAATTTTAAATGCTCTGTATATGTATTACAGAACAGCAATAATGCATGAAGCCCTGTCAAATAAGAGAACTGTAAATTAGTCTTCAGGTTTTTTGGTGGCTTTCAGTCAACACACTCAGCTGAACCACAGTATTAGGTATTCAGCAGCACAAGGCAGAAAATATACTTTCTGATATTTGCATTAATGCAAGTTATTTTAATGACTGTGTTAGAATTACTACACTTAAAGGAGAAAAAAAGTGGGAAGCCCTAACATTTCTGTTTCCTTATCATAACAGCTGGCACTGGTTTCATGTTTAGTTGTGGAGTTTTGTTTGGATTTTATTTTTAAACTAACAAATATCAAACATAAGTGTCAAAGTGACAACCTTTTCCCTCAGTTTGTGAAAGGATGGTTAACAAATAAGTTGTAGGGAAATATCATTATTTAAGTGATGCAGCAGTTAGCAAGGAATTTAACTACAGAAATAGTAATATATCAAGTCAAGTTCTCTATGTAGAACAATAAATGTGTCTTAAGACACATTTAAAACCAGACTACCTGTCATTTAAAAAAAGTAAACATTTTAGTTATATATTTGGAGAGTAGGAGGCAGCAGAAGAGAGAGGTATGGTTCAGTACCAGGGCCTGACTTTGGGAATAATTTATGAATGTGCTCCTATCTACAAGTTGCACCCTCTGTACTTCACTTGCCAAGGCAGCAGGCACCAGAATTCTGTGATGCTGCCACCTGTAAGGAAAGTACTCAGCTTAAAAAGCCATCCTTCAGTGCTGTGCCACAAAGGTTCTGGCCTTGACATTGGGAGCAGAAAGGCACCCACTTCTCACCAGCCACAGGGCTTTGCTCAAGGGTGCTGGGGACAGTGAGTGGCCACCTCTGCTCCTCCCTGCACAGTGCAGTGGTGGGCACTCCCTCCCTTCTCCACCCAACCTTTACCTTTAAGCACTAATCAGCCTCTTGTGCTGCTATTTTGTCAGGCTTAGTAAAGCCAACCCAATACTTTTCATGAGAAGGATTACATCGCAGTCCAAAATACACATCTATGCAAAACATCAGGAGGGACACCCTCCTGCACAGCCCAGAATGGATGACATTGGTTGATAGCATATCAGTTTAAATTCTCATTAGAAAACACCCTTAAGCTGTATTATTAACAAGTCAGTTCATTTTCTCAGAGAAGATGCAAGACTGGTGCATCTAATTAAAGTCAGAGGGTAGAAATCCTTCTGTTATTGGATCTTCATCTTCAGGGGAACTTTCACAGTGAAACAATCATCTTAGTATGGGTGGTATTACTTCTTTTTAGACCAAGACAAGGCACTCCATATGTTCAAAGCCAAGATAGTTAGATTATGAGACACCAGCCCTGCTAGGTCAGGAATACTGGACACAGACCATCAGTATGCACATGAAAATTTGTGGCACTTCGCTGTCCTGGGTCAGAGGTTTTGGTCTCTCTCCTGTTATTTCTACAGTTGGAAAAATACCAACAACAACACAACCAACCAAGAAACAACCCCCAAAAACCCACCAAATGACAAAATTTAAAAAACAAACAGACCAAAGTTCAGCCAAATTAAAAATGTATTAATGTGATGGGCAAATTTTGGATTTATGCAGAAGACCAAAATATTCTTTTAAGCATTTCCAGTCCAAGTTAGTCCCTTGGAAAAGAATTTGTTCACTAAATATATATATATATATTTTTTTTTTTTTCTCTATTTTAATATGGATCTTCCCTAAGAAAATTAAGGCTTTTTTTTTGCCGCACTGCAAAACTGTAAAATGGATCCTGTCTCCTGTCATGCAGAAGTGAAGATGTCATGCCATATGGCTGAGAATTCTGTTCCCACAACAACAGCAATAAAATCAGTCTTACAAATACTGGCAAGGTGTAAATTAATAACAGTGGGGTATGAAAAAAAAAAACAAACAACTTGAGGGGAAAAGAATTTTTGAGCAGGAGGAGATCTCTTGCATCTTAGAAGCAAAAAAGCTCTCAGATCAGCTGCTGTGTTCCTTGGTGTTCTTGAGGCTGGAAAAGGTGAAGTCATTCTTGGCTCACATAGCTTTGGGAATGTATCTTCTGTCTTTAGTGCCACTTTCACAATGCACATTCAAAATTTCAGTCCTTACAACTTAAATTTATACATAAATAAGGACAGCTGCGTGTGAGTGCAGCAGCCACCTTCAGAAGGGGTAGGTAGTGTTTTCATCAGCTGCTTTTCTAAACACTCAGACACCAGGAGTGGGCTGGCTCAGCTCATTTTCCCAAGCATCTCAGCAATGCAGCAACTGATGCAGCCAGCACAAAGGTATCATTTAAATTGAAACCTGCTTATTAAAAGTGAGAATCCAAGAGAGCTGCAAATAATTACTAGCTGTGCTTGTTTTGCGTATAGTGGACAGGAGAAAAAAATTTTAAAAACTCACATACCACTTTAGTGTCTGTGCTTTGCTATCTGTCCTTTCATGTAATCTCTGAATCTCTATTTACAGGTTAACTATTCATGCTCTTGTTAGTCACTTTCTTTATGCAGCCAGATAAACACTGAAAATGTCTGGTTTTCTGAGTGAGGTGGGTTGACCCTGACTGGATGCCTGGTGCCCACCAAAGCCTCTCTGTCACTCCCTTCCTCAGCTCGACCTGGGAGAGAAAATACAAGGAAAGCTCA